TATTCAGGTTTGTGCTAAACACACCTTTGGACACCCTATATATTAAACTCTTGTCAGGAAGTCGCTCCAAAAATTCTGTTGCACAGTTTTGACCCCATATGCTTTCACTCACTGAACCATCTTCACTGTCGTAACAGATGTTAAAAGCTTTATGAAAGCCGTCTGTGCTACACTCAAAGTCAGCAAAGAAAACATGCTCAGGAATGAACTTACATTTAGCTTTATTTACTTCTTTTGACTCTGCTTTCTTCTTCAGTTGTACACAATACTTTGGAGCATATGTCAAATCTTTAAATGGTGCAAGGTTCTGTTTATATAAGTCAGTCGTATATGTGAAAAGTTCTCCATAAGAAATAGGTTCGAAATATTTGCACTCCCACAATGTTTTCATAACATCCCATAGCGGTGTAGTTCTATCCATGCGAACTACATATTTATCTTCTCTCTTTGTATAAATCTTCATCTGTTTCTCAATGTTCATTCCACCACACTCCTTCAAGATTTCTATATAGTTGCGAATGAAATATGTTGTCATTGGAAGTCTTTCATTTAGCATGTAGTGGTCTTCAACAAGAAGTAAGTCAATAGTTCGAACAGTTTCACATTCTTTTGGTATATATCTCTTTATTTCATTATGTCTTGAGTCATTGAAATAACCAATGGTAATATTAAATGCTATACCAGTTGCGTCAAAAATTTCTTGTACTTTACTTTGAGGAAAGTCTCTAACACGAATGACTTCTCTCATGTGGTCAATAGTTTCTTCATTTACTCCAGCCTGAATGCAAGCATAAACGAAGCAGTTATCTTCTGTCATAAGTGTTGCAGTTCTTTTGTTCAGTTCATTGAAGATTTGGTAGCGTTCAAGATATATAGGTAATGTGCAAAGATACTTCCAGAACTGACCGCTTCTCTTCTTATAAAACTTCTTTTCACCATTATCTTTCCAAAAGCTTTCTATAAGTGCTGGGTTTCCTGTTTGCTTAAGAGCTTCCAAAATGGCTTTCTGGTCATTTGTCAGTGTGCTTTCATCTCTATATGGTCTCTTTTTTGGTTTGCCTTTCTTTACATCTGACATCGTTAAGCCTTCATATTCTGTTAAATCATACATCTTTTATTTCAGTAAGATTCTTTATGTTTGTCAAGAAGAAGTCATAGTGCATTTCAACAATACCTGCAGCATTTGCTTCTATCTCTGATATAAAGTTCTCCTTCAAGAGCTGATGTAGTAACGTTCCAATATTATTGAGGTTTAACGTAGAACATTCATACTTTCCACCAAGTTTATAACATACCATCCATCTTTGTTGGGAGTTTATTTTAATCTTCTCTAAGAGTCTCATGAAAACCTTACCGAAATGTTTGTGTAAGTAGTCTCTGTTTGGTTCATCTAAAGCTTCGATGTTAAAGTCAATGAGTCTATTGCCTGACTTCACATTTCTCTTCCTATTCTCTTCATCTTTCTTTAACCATCTCTCACCTTCTTTTGGTTTGTCGTCAATGGAACGAATGACATCGTTAGCTTTGCGAACTTGTTCTATAGCGCTCTTAAACATCTCTCTTCTCTGTTGTTTCAGTGTGTCGTCTCTTCTTCTTGTTTCACCAACGTTTGCATTTGTTATGTCAAACATTTCTCTTCTTACTTCATGAGGTACTGAACGTCTATGATATAAGTCAATAGCAACGTCATTTAAAGGAAATGCTCTCTTGCATGGACTTCGTCCTCGCCGCGTTGCGGCTTTATGAACTCATGAATTCTATCATAACTTATTGCACCATTATAGTCATTGAGGATGTCAGCGAGTGCTTTTTGTTTGTTGCGTAATGCTTTGCAACATCTATATTAGCTTCTGTAAGAAGTTGTTTTATTTCCGAGTGTTCTAACTTAGACAACTTCCGATACATCTTTAGTAGGAAATAAAAAAATATTTTTTTGAAAAAATTAGATTAGATTTTTTAAGTTATTTTTCAAAATAATTTAATATTTTTATTTTAATGAAACACATGCAAGATTGCAAGTTCTTTTCATTACAATGCTCTCGCTACTGCCATCAAGAATGTTCAATAATGCTTCAAATGTTAATGTTATCTTTAACAAGAAGTTTGTGAAAGAATCTAAGTTTGGTCAGTATGTCAGACCATTAGCTATCGTCATTGACCGCAAACGTTATACTTCACAAGAGTTAGCAGTAGTTTTGAAACAAAAGAGTTTCTTCGTGAATGTCAAAGATACTCATTATACTGTCATAAAGAACTCTAACATTGACTTCTTCAGTATTGCTTTAAATCTTTCCGAACAGAAAGAATATAAGAAGGGTGAAACAAATGTGAAATATAGGGTGTCCAAAGGTGTGTTTAGCACAAACCTGAATACTGCGAATAGAAATAAACAAGTTACATATATATAAAGTTTATTTAAATATAATCACCATTGGATTCAATCACGCGTTCGCAGCGATCGATCCAGGCTTGAAAGACACGCTTTAAATCATCATGAGAAAATTGCTCAAATTGCTCTCTTACAAAATTTCAAGATCATCTGGACTCGCGAATTCGCGTCCTTCAGCTCTCTTTTTTAGCGTGCCGAATAAATAAAAGTCAGAGGGTGCAATATCAGGTGAATAAATTGGGTTTGGAACAACTTTGACATTGTTTTCCACCAAGTAATTCATTACCTTATGACTTTTGTGAACTCTTGAATTATCAAAATGAATTGCAAACTTTTGTTTTTGTTGTTTGGATTTCTCAAACTCATCAGAATTGATAATTTGAGTAAGAACATTGTCAATTAGATACTGAGCATTCATCGTATTAGGTTTTTGAAGAATATCAATTGCGATGATGCCATTCACGCCCCAAAAAACCGACAACATCATCATTGGTGTGTCAATTTTTTTCTTCGGGAATGTTTGCGGATTTTCATCCTTCGGGATCCACATGATTTGGCTTCTGTTGCATATTGAAACCAAGACTCGTCCCTGTTACTAAAAAGCGAAACTTCTTGGATTGATACGCACCCAATATAGAGAGGAGCTCTTTCGAAGATTGGACTCTAGATTTTTTTTGAACTGAATTAAGGTTGTGCGGAACCCAACGTGTATACGCTAGTTTGTAGTTCAAATAATTGTGCAGATAATAACTGACTGTTGTACGTGGTATCTTTGTCATCTCCTCTATCCTTCTGAGTGATGCTCTTGGGTCTTCATCTAGCACTTGAAGAATTGCTTTGATTTTTCTTTGATCCGGCGATTTTTTGTCAATTTTTATGATGGGCGCCTTTTGTTCATGAAGTGATACATCCTAACATGATACGTTACAGTGGAATAGCTAGGAGCATCCATACCGAAGCATTTTACCAATGTCTCGTAGATTTTTTACAGTCTTTGCATTTTTTTGCAAGAGCGAGGATGTTTTCTTTATGATTCATTAAAAAAATGAAAAAAATCCCGCCAAAATTTCCCGAAACCGCCTCTTGTCTCAAAATTCATTTTATATACCGGCATGGCGCCAAAATACAACATACTCATCATATACATATATTCATATTTTTTATTATTATATAATCAGCATATATCTCCTTTAATAGTCTCATATAGAGCGCTGTGCTAAACGCACCTTTGGACACCCTATATTATCCTTCATCTCTGAAGACAATAACGAACAAAGATGTTATACAGAAATTCTTACCAAAGGTTGAAGAAGCTTCTATTGACATTGACGAAGGAAGTGAAATGGTTGAAGAAATAGACCCTGAAGCTATTTAAGCAAAAATATTTTTTTGGTTAGTCTTCATATGGATATTTTACAACAATTCCCCAATGTATAAACTTTTCATACGCTTTTTCATAAGCTTTATATACCTTCAGAAATTTTGCATAATCTTTAGAAGCATTTAGATATTGTTTAAATGCTTTGTATGTCTTCAGAAATTTTGCATAATCTTTTACATGTTGTTCGTTCTCTTCTTCTGTCATAAGTTCCGAATATTCTAAATTCATGTTCTTTCATATGAGATAAAATTTTATAAAATAAAATTAGCTTAGTTTTTTTTATTCTTCCTCTTTGAAGTTATCGAAATATTCTGTTATTTTTTCCTTCAGTAATGGTAAGTCTTCTTTGAATGTAAGTATTGTGCAACCTTTGATGTCATAGTGTGTTTGAGGAAGAGTATTTTTGACAATTTCCTTTATTTGCTCATTCGGTGTCATTGAAATCGGTAAGTTTTCACGATAGAACCAGTTTCTGTCAGATTTATATATTTTAGCTAAGTCATAAAAGCTCTTGTTGTTTCTTCTGACTAAATGCAACATAACCATATCTTTATCTTCTTCATTTTCCATCTCTTCAGTATATATCATATACTTATAACACTTTTCCTTTCCTTTTGGTACCGAACGCGGTATTCTTTTCTGTATGCTTTTGTCTTTGGATTCAATGACTTCATCTTTTGCTTGAAGTTTCATTTCCATCTCTCCACGTTCTGCTTTATATAGTTCATCTAACATCATGAAAATATAACAAGCATAACGAGGTGAAGCCCACATTGCTACAGCATTTACTAAAAGTCTATGAATATAATAACCTTTCAAACCAGGAGCCAAATTCTTGCGATTTTCATACGGAATCTCTTCCCCCGGTTTTCCGAGGGAAGCAATCATATGAGGAAATTCTTCTAAAAGTTCTTTTGTCTGTTGGTTTTCAAACCAATGATATGCTTGCTTTGTAGAACGAAGAGCATTCATTATACTTTGCATTTGGTACATGTCATCTTTGACCGAACGAATGAGGCGAAGTTGTTTGTTATATTGTATGTATTCGTATTCTTCATTTATGGCTTCATGAACGATAGCAGTTGTTGTGTTCTCTAATGTTGACATTTCTGTTCTTACATACAAAATAAAAAAATAAATAAAAATAAAACTAACTTTATTTTTCTGTGTTAAAGAAATGTTAAAAATTCATGGTTACATATGTGAAAAGAAGTCACGAACAAATGGAGGTCATAAGATTTGTCTTGAAAAAATACAAGACTTGATCAAGAGAGGAAGCATCTTGATCAAGAGAGGAAGTACTTTGTTGAAGAGAGGAAGCACCTTGATCAAGAGAGGAAGCATCTTGATGAAGAGAGGAAGCACTTTGTTGAAGAGAGGAAGTACTTTGAAGAAGAGAGGAAGTACTTTGATGAAGAGAGGAAGCATCTTGATGAAGAGAGGAAGCATCTTGATGAAGAGAGGAAGCACTTTGATGAAGAGAGGAAGCATCTTGATGAAGAGAGGAAGCACTTTGATGAAGAGAGGAAGCATCTTGATGAAGAGAGGAAGCACTTTGTTGAAGAGAGGAAGCATCTTGATGAAGAGAGGAAGCACTTTGTTGAAGAGAGGAAGCTGCATCTTGATCAAGAGAGGAAGTACTTTGAAGAAGAGAGGAAGCATCTTGATCAAGAGAGGAAGCATCTTGATGAAGAGAGGAAGCATCTTGATCAAGAGAGGAAGCACCTTGATCAAGAGAGGAAGCACTTTGTTGAAGAGAGGAAGCACCTTGATCAAGAGAGGAAGTACTTTGTTGAAGAGAGGAAGCACCTTGATCAAGAGAGGAAGTACTTTGTTGAAGAGAGGAAGCATCTTGATGAAGAGAGGAAGCATCTTGATGAAGAGAGGAAGCACTTTGTTGAAGAGAGGAAGCACCTTGATCAAGAGAGGAAGTACTTTGTTGAAGAGAGGAAGCACCTTGATCAAGAGAGGAAGTACTTTGAAGAAGAGAGGAAGCACCTTGATCAAGAGAGGAAGCACTTTGTTGAAGAGAGGAAGTACTTTGATGAAGAGAGGAAGCATCTTGATGAAGAGAGGAAGCATCTTGATCAAGAGAGGAAGTACTTTGAAGAAGAGAGGAAGCACTTTGTTGAAGAGAGGAAGTACTTTGATGAAGAGAGGAAGCATCTTGATCAAGAGAGGAAGCATCTTGATGAAGAGAGGAAGCATCTTGATCAAGAGAGGAAGCACCTTGATCAAGAGAGGAAGCACTTTGTTGAAGAGAGGAAGCATCTTGATGAAGAGAGGAAGCATCTTGATCAAGAGAGGAAGCACCTTGATCAAGAGAGGAAGCACTTTGTTGAAGAGAGGAAGTACTTTGAAGAAGAGAGGAAGCATCTTGATCAAGAGAGGAAGCACCTTGATGAAGAGAGGAAGCTGCATGATGGATGCATGATGGAGTGAGGAAGCATCTTGATGAAGAGAGGAAGCATCTTGATGAAGAGAGGAAGCACTTTGTTGAAGAGAGGAAGCATCTTGATGAAGAGAGGAAGCACTTTGTTGAAGAGAGGAAGCACCTTGATCAAGAGAGGAAGTACTTTGTTGAAGAGAGGAAGCACCTTGATCAAGAGAGGAAGTACTTTGAAGAAGAGAGGAAGCACCTTGATCAAGAGAGGAAGCACTTTGTTGAAGAGAGGAAGCACCTTGATCAAGAGAGGAAGCATCTTGATGAAGAGAGGAAGCACTTTGTTGAAGAGAGGAAGTACTTTGAAGAAGAGAGGAAGTACTTTGATGAAGAGAGGAAGCATCTTGATGAAGAGAGGAAGCATCTTGATGAAGAGAGGAAGCACTTTGATGAAGAGAGGAAGCATCTTGATGAAGAGAGGAAGCACTTTGATGAAGAGAGGAAGCATCTTGATGAAGAGAGGAAGCACTTTGTTGAAGAGAGGAAGCATCTTGATGAAGAGAGGAAGCACTTTGTTGAAGAGAGGAAGCTGCATCTTGATCAAGAGAGGAAGTACTTTGAAGAAGAGAGGAAGCATCTTGATCAAGAGAGGAAGCATCTTGATGAAGAGAGGAAGCATCTTGATCAAGAGAGGAAGCACCTTGATCAAGAGAGGAAGCATCTTGATCAAGAGAGGAAGCATCTTGATGAAGAGAGGAAGCATCTTGATCAAGAGAGGAAGCACCTTGATCAAGAGAGGAAGTACTTTGTTGAAGAGAGGAAGCATCTTGATCAAGAGAGGAAGTACTTTGTTGAAGAGAGGAAGCACCTTGATCAAGAGAGGAAGTACTTTGAAGAAGAGAGGAAGCACTTTGTTGAAGAGAGGAAGTACTTTGATCAAGAGAGGAAGCACCTTGATGAAGAGAGGAAGCACTTGATGAAGAGAGGAAGCTGCATGATGGATGCATGATGGAGAGGAAGCATCTTGATGAAGAGAGGAAGCATCTTGATGAAGAGAGGAAGCACTTTGTTGAAGAGAGGAAGCATCTTGATGAAGAGAGGAAGCACTTTGTTGAAGAGAGGAAGCACCTTGATCAAGAGAGGAAGCATCTTGATCAAGAGAGGAAGCATCTTGATCAAGAGAGGAAGCACTTTGTTGAAGAGAGGAAGCACCTTGATCAAGAGAGGAAGTACTTTGTTGAAGAGAGGAAGCACCTTGATCAAGAGAGGAAGTACTTTGAAGAAGAGAGGAAGCATCTTGATGAAGAGAGGAAGCATCTTGATGAAGAGAGGAAGCACTTTGTTGAAGAGAGGAAGCACCTTGATCAAGAGAGGAAGTACTTTTTGAAGAGAGGAAGCACTTGATCAAGAGAGGAAGTACTTTGAAGAAGAGAGGAAGCACCTTGATCAAGAGAGGAAGCACTTTGTTGAAGAGAGGAAGTACTTTGATGAAGAGAGGAAGCATCTTGATGAAGAGAGGAAGCATCTTGATCAAGAGAGGAAGTACTTTGAAGAAGAGAGGAAGCACTTTGTTGAAGAGAGGAAGTACTTTGATGAAGAGAGGAAGCATCTTGATCAAGAGAGGAAGCATCTTGATGAAGAGAGGAAGCATCTTGATCAAGAGAGGAAGCACCTTGATCAAGAGAGGAAGCACTTTGTTGAAGAGAGGAAGCATCTTGATGAAGAGAGGAAGCATCTTGATCAAGAGAGGAAGCACCTTGATCAAGAGAGGAAGCACTTTGTTGAAGAGAGGAAGTACTTTGAAGAAGAGAGGAAGCATCTTGATCAAGAGAGGAAGCACCTTGATGAAGAGAGGAAGCTGCATGATGATGCATGATGGAGTGAGGAAGCATCTTGATGAAGAGAGGAAGCATCTTGATGAAGAGAGGAAGCACTTTGTTGAAGAGAGGAAGCATCTTGATGAAGAGAGGAAGCACTTTGTTGAAGAGAGGAAGCACCTTGATCAAGAGAGGAAGTACTTTGTTGAAGAGAGGAAGCACCTTGATCAAGAGAGGAAGTACTTTGAAGAAGAGAGGAAGCACCTTGATCAAGAGAGGAAGCACTTGTTGAAGAGAGGAAGCACCTTGATCAAGAGAGGAAGCATCTTGATGAAGAGAGGAAGCACTTTGTTGAAGAGAGGAAGTACTTTGAAGAAGAGAGGAAGTACTTTGATGAAGAGAGGAAGCATCTTGATGAAGAGAGGAAGCATCTTGATGAAGAGAGGAAGCACTTTGATGAAGAGAGGAAGCATCTTGATGAAGAGAGGAAGCACTTTGATGAAGAGAGGAAGCATCTTGATGAAGAGAGGAAGCACTTTGTTGAAGAGAGGAAGCATCTTGATGAAGAGAGGAAGCACTTTGTTGAAGAGAGGAAGCTGCATCTTGATCAAGAGAGGAAGTACTTTGAAGAAGAGAGGAAGCATCTTGATCAAGAGAGGAAGCATCTTGATGAAGAGAGGAAGCATCTTGATCAAGAGAGGAAGCACCTTGATCAAGAGAGGAAGCATCTTGATCAAGAGAGGAAGCATCTTGATGAAGAGAGGAAGCATCTTGATCAAGAGAGGAAGCACCTTGATCAAGAGAGGAAGTACTTTGTTGAAGAGAGGAAGCATCTTGATCAAGAGAGGAAGTACTTTGTTGAAGAGAGGAAGCACCTTGATCAAGAGAGGAAGTACTTTGAAGAAGAGAGGAAGCACTTTGTTGAAGAGAGGAAGTACTTTGATCAAGAGAGGAAGCACCTTGATGAAGAGAGGAAGCACCTTGATGAAGAGAGGAAGCTGCATGATGGATGCATGATGGAGTGAGGAAGCATCTTGATGAAGAGAGGAAGCATCTTGATGAAGAGAGGAAGCACTTTGTTGAAGAGAGGAAGCATCTTGATGAAGAGAGGAAGCACTTTGTTGAAGAGAGGAAGCACCTTGATCAAGAGAGGAAGCATCTTGATCAAGAGAGGAAGCATCTTGATCAAGAGAGGAAGCACTTTGTTGAAGAGAGGAAGCACCTTGATCAAGAGAGGAAGTACTTTGTTGAAGAGAGGAAGCACCTTGATCAAGAGAGGAAGTACTTTGAAGAAGAGAGGAAGCACCTTGATCAAGAGAGGAAGCACTTTGTTGAAGAGAGGAAGCACCTTGATCAAGAGAGGAAGCACCTTGATCAAGAGAGGAAGCATCTTGATCAAGAGAGGAAGCATCTTGATGAAGAGAGGAAGCATCTTGATCAAGAGAGGAAGCACCTTGATCAAGAGAGGAAGCATCTTGATCAAGAGAGGAAGCATCTTGATGAAGAGAGGAAGCATCTTGATCAAGAGAGGAAGCACTTGATCAAGAGAGGAAGCACTTGATCAAGAGAGGAAGCATTTGATCAAGAGAGGAAGCATCTTGATGAAGAGAGGAAGCATCTTGATCAAGAGAGGAAGCACCTTGATCAAGAGAGGAAGTACTTTGTTGAAGAGAGGAAGCATCTTGATCAAGAGAGGAAGTACTTTGTTGAAGAGAGGAAGCACCTTGATCAAGAGAGGAAGTACTTTGAAGAAGAGAGGAAGCACTTTGTTGAAGAGAGGAAGTACTTTGATCAAGAGAGGAAGCACCTTGATGAAGAGAGGAAGCTGCATGATGGATGCATGAAGAGGAAGCATCTTGATGAAGAGAGGAAGCATCTTGATGAAGAGAGGAAGCACTTTGTTGAAGAGAGGAAGCATCTTGATGAAGAGAGGAAGCACTTTGTTGAAGAGAGGAAGCACTTGATCAAGAGAGGAAGCATCTTGATCAAGAGAGGAAGCATCTTGATCAAGAGAGGAAGCATCTTGATGAAGAGAGGAAGCACTTTGTTGAAGAGAGGAAGCACCTTGATCAAGAGAGGAAGTACTTTGTTGAAGAGAGGAAGCACCTTGATCAAGAGAGGAAGTACTTTGAAGAAGAGAGGAAGCACCTTGATCAAGAGAGGAAGCACTTTGTTGAAGAGAGGAAGCACCTTGATCAAGAGAGGAAGCATCTTGATCAAGAGAGGAAGCATCTTGATCAAGAGAGGAAGCACCTTGATCAAGAGAGGAAGTACTTTGTTGAAGAGAGGAAGCATCTTGATCAAGAGAGGAAGTACTTTGTTGAAGAGAGGAAGCATCTTGATCAAGAGAGGAAGTACTTTGAAGAAGAGAGGAAGCACTTTGTTGAAGAGAGGAAGTACTTTGATGAAGAGAGGAAGCACCTTGATCAAGAGAGGAAGCATCTTGATCAAGAGAGGAAGCATCTTGATGAAGAGAGGAAGCATCTTGATCAAGAGAGGAAGCACCTTGATCAAGAGAGGAAGCACTTTGTTGAAGAGAGGAAGCATCTTGATGAAGAGAGGAAGCATCTTGATCAAGAGAGGAAGCACCTTGATGAAGAGAGGAAGCTGCATGATGGATGCATGATGGAGTGAGGAAGCATCTTGATGAAGAGAGGAAGCGTAAGAACCGATAACATTTACAAAATATTAAATTTATTTTGTAAATTTTCCAAAAGCCTTAGTACCAATGTAATATAAATGCTCCAAAAATACCATCCCTCCTTCCAAAAGCGTAAGAACCGATAACATTTACAAAATATTAAATTTATTTTGTAAATTTTCCAAAAGCCTTAGTACCAATATAATATAAATGCACTAAAAACCCAACTGCCAATAGCATGTATTCAAAAAATGCAATTCAATACAAATTTGATTGCATTTTTTGAGATGGAAGTGTATCTGAATTCACAATTGTAATCCACGAATACACTTCCATCTCATTGATAAGAGGCTAATGTTTTTCTCATTAATAAGGCGCTGTTGGCCTCTATCCATAGCCGAAGTGATATTAACGTATGTTAACGTACAAAGTAAAAACATGTTTTTTCTTTTTAAAATCATTTAGTAATTAATAATATTTAGCACTCATAGTAAAAACATTAAAATTTATAAGAATCGTTATGAAGAAAAATTGAGAACTTATGATTTTTATTTAAGAAAATGATTAAATAATATATAAATAACCATATAAACAACATTTTAGATTCCTCTGAAAAGGGTATCTCAAATTGGTCTATGACCAATTGAATGGTTCGCCGGTTATTCAAGGTACGGTAATTCAAATTGAAATTGAATACCTAGCGTCTTTTTTGACAAGTCTCTCCCATCAATATTTTTCCCTAATTCACTTTTTGGTATTTTAAAAAAATATTGATTTAAAGTTATAAATAATAGTCTTCCTTTTGAAATCTTAGATTAAGATAATTATCACTATGATTAAAAAATCAAATTTTTATTTTCAATTTTAATTATTTTTCCATCTTGCTATAAGCATTTATATGCATTACATACTGTTCCTCAACATTACATAAATATGGAAATATTTTCCTCCAAATTTTAAAATTCAATTCTTAATTTATCTCCAAAATATATTTTATTAATATTTAATTAAAATACAATACTTATAGCATAATTTAATGCTAAATCTATAAATTTTTTTTCTATATTTTTCATCATTCAGATTAATAACCCATTTTGTATCATCTAGTTCTATTTCGTAATCTGATTTTATATATTTTAAGCTAATCATATCAATTGGATATTAATTGATTTTCCAAAGATAAAATTTATAAAATTAATCATATTTTTAGAGTTTAAATATAAATGTATGCTTCTATTGCTATTTAATTGACTAATAATTCGGATTTGCATCTCTTATAATTGCTAAATATCGCCATTTTGATTTTATTCTTGAAAAATATACTTATTTCCTTGAACTTTTCAATAATAATTTATATCATTTAAGAACAGTCTTATTAAACAAATAAAAAAAGCATGAAAAAATTGCTTTCTGCAAATTGAATGAATTCTATGAATTATTTTTAGCGGATAACCACTTTTTTTTCAAAAGTCGTAATTCAATTTGTATCACTTTGAAATGAGATAATATCACCCATTTCAAATTCATATAATAGTATGATATCTTAATATCATTGATTATTAATTAATTAAATAGAAAAGCAAAATCTTGACAACGAAAATAAAAATCATTCAAAATTTTGTCAATGGAGTGATCACTGGAAAATATTGTTTTCATTAATGTTTTAATGTTCATTGATACAATCGTTTGCAATGTGGCTGCCGATTTAAATGGGTTCTATTTTGTCAATTCACTTCAAATTCCTATTCTTCATAAAGAAAAGTGACAAAATTATTTTCCTCAGGATAAAATGATAATAATGTATTCCAAAAATCATTTAAAGAGGATTGATCGTAAGCTTGTATTGCAATAATATCAATATATATAGCTTTCCATCTCTAGCATCATTTATTTCAAAATTATAGTTTAATCAATTTTGAACCTTTTATTATAGTTTAAAAGCTATTATCTCGGATCCTTTTGATGGCTAATATTCACGAAGGAGCATTTATTTAAAGTTAATCATATATAATAATGAAATCACCTGACGAAGGATAGTATGTAATTTCATTGAAATCAGAAAATATCATATTTCATTAATTCCTTCATTATTTTAATTTTTTCAGTAAATGTATAAAATTCCATAATGAGGATTCATTTTTAAGGAATCCTTCTTTTATATCATTGTATAGATGGTATAAGTGAATTACACTATTAAAAAAATATTCAAATAGTTTATAAATAATTATAAAAAAAAATAAAAATTACTTCTTCTCTGCATTATTTGCTGGTTGAGCATTATTAGCAGATGGTGGATTATTAGCTGGAGGAGGATTTGCTGCAGCTGCTTCTGCTTGTTTCTTTTCGAAGGCTGCTTTCCAAACAGCCAAGTTCGATTGTACTTGTTGAACATTTACTTCGAGAGGAGGGAAAGCCTGTGCAGTTGCCTGGTAAAGAGGCAAGCAAACGAATGTGTAGAAACCGATCTGTGACTTTGGTTTATCCAAGTGCTCTCTATCATTCAAATCAGAAGTGTATTGCATGCCAGAAGCCATTTCCAAATCACCTTGTCTGAAGAATTCTTCGCACAAAACATCGCACCATCTATCAGCAAGTTCGAATGGTCTTGACACGTTGGAAATATCTGCTGTCTTAAGGAGCAATTTCATCATTCTCAATCTGATATCTGGCTGTGTCTTATCCCATTTTCCTTCATCGTTCAAAGCCTTGAATTCCTTCAATAACGTGAAGTGTTTAGACATATCTGTAGCCAATATCAATTCGATGATTGTTGTCCACATGAATTTGAAATCTTGTGACTTCAATTTCGCGAACAAATTCGTTTCTTCTTTAGAAATAATTCCAATGGCAACTTCGCAATGATGAGTTTCCATGACTGACTGGTTCTTGAACAAAATACCTAAAGGAGTTTCTGCTTTTTCATTGAAGACGTTTGTGAAACCATCGTGATTTGCATCATGGCACAAAGCGGCAACAATCAAAGCGAACAATTCCATGTTCGACAAAATTTTTTCTGCGCCACTCAAAATGATTTCGTAAGTTACAAACTGAGTAACATCGCAAGCATGTCTCCAATTGTGGTAAGGAACTTTGTTGTATGTATCTCTTAGTTCGCAGAGGAATCTGAAGAGTTTTTCGTTCGATATTCCGTAGTTTTCTTGGAATTTGAACCTTGCGAAAATTGCGAAAACTTCTTTGAAGAAACCAATTCCTGCCCATTTCGGAGCATCGAAACTTACAATCCAAAGCTTCGAAGACTCTTCAATAGGTAATTGGAGCTTGACAGGGATTTGGTTCGTCAGTTCTCTTTCATTGTCCGCTACCCATTCTTTGAGTTCGAACTCAATTGAACCGAGTTTCGCGATATCTTTCAATTCGGATCTTTCCAAAGAAACTGCTGCGAAAATTGCGAAACAATCGAGTAAACTCATGTCCTCGTTCATCATTCTTTGTATTGACATCAACAACATTACGCCAATGACTTCGCCTTCACTGTTTATCAATGGCAAACAGCAAATTTGTTCACAAATGGCCGAATCACTGCCGAATAAGACAGATCTTCTTACTCTACTTGCTTGGTTCTCGAGTTTGGCTGCGGCCTCGGTGTTTCCGAGCATCTCTTCAACGGCATTTTGAAGGTTTAATGATTGTAGTTTCTCAGCAATTTGGTCTGCAGTGTAAATCTTTGGTTGGCCAAGGTCAGCGACCTCTTTTGCGAACAATTCACCGTATTTGGCTGGTCCACCGACATGTACAAGTTCGATAATTGCTTTTTCTTTATCAACCCTGTACAATGTGGCTCCTGTTCCGTTAATTGCGGCCATTGCGTTAGTAAGAATATCCGTTAATGTGTTTCTGAGTGCATTGGACTGGTTTAATGATGTTGAAATGTCAACAAAGCTGCGAACTTGTCTGGCCAAGTTTAATGAAGCCTCATAAAGCTTCGCGTTATCAAGAGAAATACCGCAGAAGACGTTGAAGCCTATAAGAAGTCTAATATCCTCTTCATCAAAGATTCCATCGTTGCATTTGTTGATCATTTCTGTAACACCGATAATTTCACCTCTGTTGTTATAAATAGGTGTTGCCAAAATTGATTTTGTCCTGTATCCGGTTTTTGCATCGATGGAACGATCGAAATTGACGTCGTTGTAGGCATCTTGGATATTAATTGTTTCTCCAGTGGTTGCTGTCTTACCTGCGATACCGCTTGTGAGAGGAATTCTAATAGCATTGGCCAAACCACCATGGAAGAAGGTTTTCAGCTCTTTCTTGACTACATCAACCAAGAATAAACTGCATCTCTCGGCATTTAAGAGGGAACAGCTCTTTTCCATGATCATAGGTATTAGTTGGTCAATAACCAATATTCCTGAAAGAGCTTCAGCGACTTCCAACAAAGCATGTAGTCTTTCTTGGAAATTTTGTTTCTGGCTATCGACTTTTTCAGGGAGAAACGCCGATGAAACTGACTGGACAACGAACGATGAAATGGCGGTTAATTTGGCCGTATCGTTCGGTGTGAAATAAGGAGGAGAAGATCTTCCACGGCAAACAACGCACCAGACACGCTTAGTCTTCTCTACGAAAGGAACTCCGAGAAAGGCTTCAGGATAGAAGCCATCCGACGTTGGATTGTAATTTGCGTTATCACAGACGTTTCTTTCACTTACTGTGGAACATGTAGTGAGTACATAGCCTGCAATACCTGTTTTGGCTTCGGAAACAGGGATTTCTTCGGCTGATATCGTATCAAATTTTAAGAAAATATTCTTTCTGCGTCTGAAGAGCCAGATTTCAGCTTTTCTGCATCTCATGAGCTTTGTAACTGCTGCGCAAATGTTGTTGATTGTATTTTGCAATGATTCGATTTGAACACAAGAATATGAAGATTTTAAGATTTGTGGACTATCGAAAATGAAAGAACTGTAGTTAGTGAACTTCTTTGTGAGTTTTGTAGCGTTTTGCAAGTCTATTGTTGAGAAAGGATTCTCATTTCTCCTTGTTAATTGAATTACAGCGATTGGAGCGAAATCTCTTGACATAATTGGGATCATCATAACAGGGGAGTTTGGTGGTAAGACTTTTGTATCAACAGCTAAGACAAATGATGGATGTTGTGACTGGTTATGAACTGCTATTGGAACACGCGATCTTAGACCTGTTAATAAGAAGGATTGTGTAAGAGGAACTGTTACTGAAAATGTTGGTGAGTATAATGCATTGATATTTGGAAGGTATGTCCATAATATTGTTTGTGATGTATCAAAGACTTGATGCAATATGTCTTCTAGGACTGTATTCGGTGGTTTATCCTGTATGCCTTCCATAATTTCATCGAAAAGCTTTTCTATAGCGTTTTCGCCGTGTAATGATTTCTTTCCGCCTGATTTTACTGGATTTGATGTAGCTGCAGCTTCTTGAACTGATTGTACCTTGTGATTTTGCAAACTAGATAGGGATGATTGCCCGATTACTTGCTTAACCTTCCTATTCGAGCTCATCCCAAGATTTTAGTTTTGAGTTGAAGAAAAAAACGTGTTAAATTTTTTATAATTTTTTTATACAAATGAAATATTGAGGAACAACAAGAAAGATATAAATTACCCAAATTCATAAAAATATTGGGTGTTTATGCTTGTCAAAATTTGGAAATCAATAGCTTTATTGTATTCAACTGACAATATGATTAATTGATCATACTTTTGGATTGTTTGTTATTTATGATGTTGTTTTCTCTATAACTAGTATAAAATATGAACTCTTATAATTTATTTGTATTATTGACTTAAATTACATCTTCACAATAATATAAAAAGGCATAAAGCATATCTTATTAGAGTGTTTTTGCATTGAAATGAAATGAATAAAAATATATCCTTATTTTGAGGGTTTTTGAAAAAAACAATAGACAACAATAAAATTTTTGAAAGCAAATATTTAGTATAGTTACAAAAAAAAACAAAATATTAATGTTATATCGAAGATATTTTTGATGAAATATGATTTAAAACATAATATCAGTAGTATACATTTTCTGTTAATAGTAAAGTGGTTTTCTGTTTGAAATTGAAAGAAATAACATAATATAATCTATAAATTCATAAATAATGTCGAAAACTTATATGAATAACTCTATATATAGTATCTGATGATAGATTAATGATGATTTGGAATGAAAGCGCTGATGGACATTTGTTTCTGAGATTGTTGTTTGTATGATGGTTTTGGCATTACTCCTGGTACTTCTGGAGCTATTGGTTTCTTAATGTATTGACTTGGAGGTGCTGTTGAAAAAGCTGGATCCGGACCAATGTGATTTTCGATTGGTTTTGGATCACTTTTGAATTTAAATGGCTGATATTCATCATAGCTTTGTGCTTCAAGAGGGAACATAATAAAATCATCAACTTTCTCTAGTGATGGGTAATTTTTGAAGTGTTCGTACAATCTTTGAACCCAAAGATCAGTTGATCTGGATGCAATATCAAGTATTTTCTTGTATCCATTCGATATATTACTAAATTGTTCGTCGTTTAAGAATAATGCTGTTTGAAGATAAGAACATTGGATTTTTGATGGGAAAGAATCAAAATCTCTGATTATATCGACAAATAACTCTGGCGTTAATCTATGCGCTACTTCTTCAATACCATTTGACTCTGAAAACAGCTTATTTAGTTGCTCAATTTCCATTTGTCACTTTTTGGTAAATCTCAACTCTTCAAATTGTTCAAAATTATAAAGAAATTAATGACAAACTAGATGATTTATCTCGATTTCATTAGCCAATTTTCCTAAAATTTTTAATTTTTGGAGAAATGTGGAAACATCTCAATAAACGCATGCATTTTTGATTGATTTACTGTTAAAAATATACCCAATTAAGATATTTATGCCAAGTTACATGATTAATTCAATACAGTTTTATCATTTGAATCAAATAATGTTATTGAAACAAAATTCACACTCTAATTTTGATTAAATGATTTGGTATTTAGTTTGATATCATATCATTGAAGAAAATTACTCTGATTCATATAATATCAAATTTGAAATGATGAAATCTCATTTCACAACCAAATGTATTATGCAATGATGTTTTATATCAGTTGTTTTTGTTTAAGAAAAAAGTTTTTTGTTTGCAAATTAAATAAAATTCAATAAATGCTATAAAATCTTTATTTGTTGTTTTTAACCTTACCATTGAGTGTATTGCGGAGCCAGTCCTTTGGTGTCTTTTCATTTGGCTTACCATTCTTCTCGAGCTTTCCTTCAGCGATGAGTTTCTTCTTCTCGAGAGCAACAGGACCCTTACCCCAGCTCTTGACGTATGTGCCTCTATCCATAATAACACGCTTGAGTGTAGCAGCTACATCCTTCTGATTGACGGACATCTGTTGAGCTGTCATTGTAGCGATGGCGAGAGCGATAGCCTCACCCTTAGCTGTAATGACGACAACTTGGTCGCCTGTTTCGATTGTATTATCGAATCTCATGATACCTGGGATATAAATTGGAGCGCCATGGCAGATAGCGTCAATAGCAGAATCCTTGACGACAATACGCTTCATATTCCTAAGCATCCATTCGAGTGGGCGGATAACACGTCTCAAGTACTTCTCGTTGCCTTCCTTGTCATAAAGGTACTTAGCATCGAGGACATCGTGCATTGTGACGAGACCGCATGTTTCTGTTGTAAAGCCGGAACGTGTTCTACGAAGTTCGGCCATTTCACCACCAACACCAAGATAAAGACCAAGGTGCTCGCAGAGTGTACGGATATATGTACCAGCTTCGCAGGCAACGCGCATAACAGCTAGCTTCTGTTCATCATCGTATTCGATTAATTCATTTGAATAAACTTGGCGGACACGAAGTTGCTTCTTAACGGCTGAGATAGCTGGTGGGCACTGATAAAGCTTTCCAGTGAGGAACTTGATGGCCTCTTCGAGTTTTTCTCTTGGAACTGTTTCGAATAAACGAAGAACAGCGACGTATTCCTTACCAGCATTTTGTTGAGACTTGCCAATGCATGTTGCGTTCTCAATGCAAATGATAAGGCAGCCTGTAACCTTTGGATCGAGAGTGCCGGAATGTCCTGTCTTTGCAACGCCAAGGATTCTCTTTACCCATGAAACAATTTCGTGTGATGATGGATTTGATGGCTTATCAAGATTGATAACACCATATTTCATGTAATCTTTTAATGGACGCTTTAATGGTGAATGTCCGCATGGTAATGGTGTATATAAGCCATCTCTGCATACAAGGTTGCTGTAACCTTTAAGGAGAAGTGGCCATTTAGATGTATCTATTGTAGATGTCTCGTTCGAAGGTGCAATTGCGTCGCTCATTGACCTTTTGAATGACTGGAGCAGGACCAATCTCTATCGTCAAGAACACAATGAGATTTTACAAGATCTAATGCATTATTTGGTATGTATTCATGATGTTAATTTTAAATTATTCTTCTAGTTTTGATTTATCCACAATCTTGATTTGATGAAATCTTGTGTCTCGATTCCAAAGTAATATTAGTTATTATTTTATATAGTTTATGCGCTTTTTATATAGGGATTTTAAAAAAGTTCGCAAAATGGCGAATTGCGCCACTTCTAATTTTTTGGCGAATTTGCCATTTTTCAATTTCCAAACCATATAAAAGGGTCTGTTATTTTTATTTTGTGGAATTCTCGTTTTTTATTAATAAAGGGTCTTACATTTTTATTGTGTGATAATCTTCATGATTTTAAGATAGGGTCTATTATTTTTATTTTGGGATTATCGTTTTCCTCTCAATTTTACTTTACAAAATGGCGAATTCGCAAAATGGCGATCGCCAAATGGCGAATTCGCAATTTGGCGAAGACGTTAAGGCCAATATTATGTTTCCATTTTTCTTATCAATTTGCAAAATATATTTGATGAATATATATATTATGACAATAAAGTTCATATTTGTTCACGATTAAAAAATATTATTTTTTTTGGTTTTGCATTTCATTATGCTGATTGCAAAATTAGCTTTTCTTGATGTTAGTTTGATTAAATCATAACAATTTATTCTCATACTAACTAATCAGAATAATTTTGAATTCAAAAATAAGAACTTTATGATTAAGTTCGTTATAAATTATTACTCATAACATAAACAGTTTTTATGTGCGCTTTAAGAAATGGCATGGTTTTAATTTGAAAAATTTGAATGAAATAAATTGTTGCCTTTTCCGCACACTAATACTTAATATTATTAATATTATTTGGAATCTCTTCCTTTATGATATTGTGAAGGAATTTATCTAAAATTAGATAATATTTGCAAATATTTAGGTTTTTCTCAATTACTCAGCATTTCTAATAATAGGATTTACTTGTGTAAAAAGATAATTGAAAAGAAGAAGAAATTATTCAATATAATGAGATAAATAAAAGATATTATCGAGATTATCTAAAAAACACGAGAAGTCATTACAGTATTTGCATGGTACTGTATTAATATATTTGAAGTTATATGATAAGTTTCCAAAAACAAGTATTGACGCCTTGAATCTGTCAATTATTCACTTAAATTCAAAATGGTTATCATGAGCATCATGACTATACGAAATAAAGTTATAAACATACTGTAACTATTTGACATATGCAAAAATTATCAATGATTATAGCGAGATTCAGTATAAATTATGTCACTTTTTGAGTTCGCCGAATTCGAAAAAATCAGGCTGAGTTAGCGAATTTTCAGCAATTCGCCATTTGGCGAAACCGTTTTTAAATCCCTATTTTATATTCCAACAAACATAAAAACATGATAATTCTAAAATCAATTTCAAAATTTCTTCACCTGAGTACATTATAACCTCCTTAAAGCATAAATTTTCTTGTATATGGAATTTTATGCTGATCTTATTATTGATGTTAGTTCTATCAATAAAAGATTGAAATTCGATAAAATATCATGAAATCACTATTCAAAATCTGTAATAATTTCTTCATGATGTTGTTATGTAATTCGATTTTTTAAAGAAATATAACAAAAAATCAATTTTAAAACTGATATTTTCTTAAAGGATAGTTTTATTATAAAAATACAAACATGTAAAGTGGGTGATAGCTATTCTAGATCACATGAATCAATAAACAGCTCAAGATAATCAATCAAATTTTCATCAAATTGATATCCTGATTCTTTTCTTTCTTTATATAGAATGGCAAATGATTTAACAATGTCAACAAGATAATCATCGCCATTGGTTAACAATTCCCCTAAATATTCTATAAAATTTTGATTTTCAAACATTTTGAAAATTTCTGAAGTTGCTGATTGAGCAGCGATCAACAGACATCTAACTATTTGCTTTGTCGTTGAGAAATTTTCTATTTGTATGAGAGAAAACAGTTTTTCAAGAATTCCTGATTCATATGCTTCAGAAATTGTCATTTCATCATTTTGGAAGCAATTAAATAAAGCGATAATTGTGTTTAACCTAACAATATCACTCTCATCTTCAAGAAACGAAGAGAAACTGCTCAAAGGTATTAATTCTTTTATTGAATGCTGAAGTGATGAAATTGGACATCCGTAACAGTTACTAAATATAACAAGGATGTGTCCTTTTGATATAGGATTCGTATTTGGGAATAAATTTAACAATTTTTGAACGTATTTTGAGGTGATAAAGCTTGATGTCCGGTTTACATCACTTGTAAAGTAGTTTAAACTCTGTGTACAGTCGTTTTGGACATTTTCGTCTGAACAAAAATCTAAAATTTCAAAAATTTTCTTAACTATTCTTGAAAGCTTATCTCCTGGCATTACCTGAGAGTCACTTAGTAAATATTTGAGAGTTGATGCATAATATTTAAGGTTTTCAAGCGATAATATTTGAGGATTTGTATCAATGATAGTTTCAAGCAATGGATTAAGAGAAATGTATTGTTTAATAGCTAGAGATTGTTCAAATAGCTTTGATAAGAGCATATAGAATTTAATATCAGTATTAAGATTTTGAGAGAGCGAGAAAAGATAATCATATGCTGCTTTTCTAAAATCTGTCATATCAGAATCATCATGAGCATAAAAAAGTTTGACAAGAATATGTTTTGCATAGTCTTGAACGTAATGCTGTTGATTTTCTGAAAAAATTAGTAAATAATCAATTAATTGTGGTATATAATTTATAAACACATCAAGATTATTGATGTCATTTGAAAAATCAAAGAGTCCTTGAAGAATTATATCAAAATAATCTGATTCAAATGCCTGAAATACTGTTTGTGGATCATTCCAATTAATAACTATTTCATCCGGCCCATATTGTCTTGGTTTGAATTGATTGTTTTCTTGACGATGAAATAGAAGATTTTCCAACTGAATTATATTCATTCAGTTTCAATAGAATTAATTGTTTATAGTCTTTTAATGATTATTTTTAATAGAGATATTGCTAAAAATACATAATCTTATTGTGAAAAGATGCTTATCAAGAATTTAGATATGGTTCTGATGCAGATAGCTTCTCATGCAGAAAGCAAAGCTTAGAATATCATTTAGAAGCAATCAGAAAGAAAATTAGATTTCAAAAAAAGATCTTCAAATGTGATTATGATGCGAAAAGTATGTAAAATATATACGTTGTCTAAGAGAATTCTTATTTTTAGTGTCATCATTGATCAATGATAAAAGAGCTGAAGAAGTGAAGGAGAAAGGTGACTTTATATTGAATTTTTATCCAGTATCAAATGTCCTACGCTGAAACTCTTGCAGCAAAACTCCTCGATGCACAAAATAAAGTCAGAACTAACCCATTAGAGGCTCTTCAGAGTGTTTTAGAGGAAATGCCAGTTCGTGAAAAGAAGGCAAATCCGGAAGGCAAGAAAGGCGTGGAAGGCGCTAAGTTATTCAAGGATGCCAAGGACGCCGCTGCCAAGAGCGTTCTTACAATTGTCACATCAATCGAGAAAAGCAAACTTGCCGCCACAATCAAAGGTCTTACAGATGAAGAACGTGATACACTTATGAAATTTGTTTACCGCGGCTTCCAAGAAGAATACGATCACATGTACCTTCTTACGATCCATGAAGAAATCTGCAAGGTCTCTAATCTTGGTCCTATCATCCGCTCTATCCACACTCGCCTTGAAGTTTAAAGTGGTTACTTTAAAAGATTATAAAACTTTGATTTTTAATCGTGATACGAAAATATTCTAAATATGAAACTGACATCTTTTTTAATTTTTTCATTTTTTGAAAAATTTGAAGTTCTTCTATTAACTTTCATTATCTGTCATCAACACATATTCCACTCTGCTCACTTTCCAGCATTTTTATTTCTGCCACTCGCAAGTTATCAAAATTCGAAGAATGAAATCACTTATTCAGAACTTAACCAGTAGGATGACTGAGCTTAAATAATTCAAACTAAGCGACAGATATTATATCTTAAGCGAAAAATAATACTTGAGAAATAAAATTTCCTTTTCATTCATGTTCAGATTGATTCGAACAAATATCAAATTGCTTCTAGATTATGTGATAATTATGTGCGCCATGTGATCAACAAAGCCCCTTACGTCAAATTAGAAAACATCATCTCTGCAAAGTGAAAAAATAAGTAAAATATGCCACAGTAGTTGAATGTGACCAAGCACCATACACTGCTGGAGAAAGTACTAAATCAGATGTAAGTTTATTTCATTGCCAAACCAACAGTGGATCATTATTCGCAAGAGATATTTAGTGAAATTATTTCTCGCATTTTTTGTCAAAAATTTTCTATGAATGAAGACGATTTTAACGAGCTGTCGAGTCGTTTTATAATCAATACCAGCTGGTTCAAGGATATTCTGAAAGAGAAAGAGCTTGCGAAAAGACAAGAATTAGTATATAACAATAGATTTGATATTTCGATTTCAATAACGAACGCACAATACTATTACTATGATATGCTAGCCAAAAACGTTGACAATAAGCAAAAGAGTCAGTATTGGAAGGATTTTCCCAGTAAATTATTCAAAAATTTCCCGACATTATTATCATATTTAGATATGAACATGTTTCACTGGGAATGGAGTGTTGATGTTGCTGGAGTCATCATTTTTGATAAGAAAATGGAAAAAGTACTTGTTTTAAAGACATATCAAAATAATTATACTTTTCCAAAAGGTAAACACCAACAAGGTCTTGAACCTGTCGATTGTGCAATTCAAGAATGCTTCGAAGAAACAGATATTGATGCATCAAAATGGATACAAAAGGACAGATTTTACGAAGGAATTTCATTATTAAGTAAATACAGATATTATGCAGCATTCTCTGACTTAGACGATTCTACAGTAGCCCATCCACATTTTCGCTGGGAAATACAAAGTACACATTGGATACCTATAAACGAAGTACATCAGAGCTTAGAATATCCAACGGATCAAGATTTTTATGACTGGATTGCTCAAAAATGTCCTCCAAGATAACAAGAATCTTCAATTTGAAAAAATCAAAAAATTATTCTCCTTTTTAGAGCTTCTTTGAACATATCTCTAATGAACTATCGACAATTGTAAAGAATTATCCGATTAATACTTAATTATATTACTTATGTCGTAATATTTGTTGAATATTCCGTAACATTACAAATTTCATATGAAAAACTAATAGAAAATGTATTTAGAAGCAAACTATGTACCAGATGCAAATAAATGCGTGTTTTAGTGACAAAAGCAAACTAAAGAAACAAAATTAAATCAAAATTACGTTAATATACCTCAAACCATGTGATATAAATAAACATTTCTTGTAAATTATATATGACTCCCTGTTTTTGAAAATATTATTTTCTAAATAGAAGTGGCTTATGAATGTGAGAGTGGAACTTGCTTTTTCATATGGAATTATAGCCATTGTTAAGATCTGTGGAATAGATATCCACAATTGTTATAATATTGAAAAAATATTATGTGAAAACTAAGTTTTACTAAAATAAATCATAAATATAGATAATATTAAATTATTTGCATTATTTGATTTCTTCATAACTTGAGGAAATGCCATTCAAAATTAAATTTCAGGAAAAGAAATTCCAAAAATATTTTGGATTTCAAATTTTCAAAATCAAAAATGTTGGATTTCTCTCCATTTTCTTAATTTTGAATTTTTTTTTGAAATCTATGTGAGCCTAATATTATACAAAATGCTTATTCTAAGATTGTTTAGGTCATTTCAAGCCCCATTTCGCCTATATTAAAATATTATCAAAATTAATAAGAAGAGATGACATTATTGTCAAAAGCAATAGCACACCTCATCAAATACATCAATTAATTCAATCGAAATTAAGTCTATCAAATTTTACAACGTTTTATTTGTTAAATATCCAATTACAGTTGAAAATATATCAATAAGATCCATACGCAATAAAACTACAAACAAAACTATTTGCATTTATTATACATTTTTAATCCAAATTCCCTTTATTCACCTTATCATTTACATGATATTACAAAACCCTAGGAATTCAAACAATGCTTTACTTTAGATGAAGTATCTAAAGGATTGCATTACAATTCTCACTTAAATTACTTCAGTTAAATTCAATATTTATTTTCTTCTTGGAGTTCAAATATTACACAAAAATAAAAAGAATTATTAAATGAATGGTGTTTTTATTCTTACAAATTTGAGTAATAAATCTTACTGGTTCTTTGGCATCTTCCATTCGAGGTGCATGTTGTTAAGTGGCTGAAGACCACGTGTAGCACGGAGGATGTTCTCCATGCAAGCACGCTGCTGGAAGAGTGAGTTGATGACTGGTGTGCCTGTTGGTGTTCTTGGAGCCTTGAGGAGGAAGGAAAGAACGGAGTAGACAGCGTTCATGTGGTGGAAGTCCTTCATTGTCTCATCCTTGAGCTGGACACGTGTGAAGAGTTCCATAAGGATGATGAGGTCGAGCATCAATGGAGCAGCAAGAAGGGAATCTTCGCATGTGTTGTGGACGGAGATGATGTTCTTGCCACCGCAGAAGATGTCAGAGTCGTATTCATCGAGAGCACGCTTTGAGTCGCCAACAGATGGGACGTACTTGATGACAACAACGTGATCTGGGTGCTCGCCGTTTGGATAGAGGATTGGGTTGTAGCCAACCATATCATCGATGACGGAGGACTTTGAGATCTGCTTTGAGCGGAAGCACTTCTCGAAATCGAGGTTGAGGCCATCGTTGTTACCAAGGTGGTTATAGGAAACAACAGCTGTTAACTTGAGGCCTGATGAGATGAGGAAGTCAGCCATGACTGATTTGAATTTTGTCTGGCCTGTCTTGAAGTCATCACCCATGATGGCGACATCTTCGCGTTCAGCGAGCTGGATAAGTCCTGGAACGAATGTGTTCTGTGGAGAACCATTGATGTATGGGATGTGTTCGAGGATAGCAGCTGTAGCGTAGATTGTTGATGGAGAAATTTCTGGGTCGTTGTTCTTGATGGCCTGAAGGAGCTGTTCTGGTGTCATGTGGACGCCTTCCTTGACTTCGCAGTATCTCTCTGTGTTGGCTGTCCAGAGGATGATGAGCTTCTCGAGCTTGTTCTGCTCCTTGAAGTCTCTCATCTGCTTACGGACTGTCTCGAGCTGTTCCCACTTGTTGTCTGGGATAACGTTGTCAGCACGATCCTTCTGGTTTGGAGCAACGAAGTTGAGGTCGAAGACAGCTGGGAGTGGGTGCATCTTCTCGAGCTCGTCCTTGAGTTGGATGAGCATGGCTGGTTCCATGACATGGGCACGGCGAGCGGACTCGTAGATGTTAAGCTTGGAGATATCCCAGCCGCCGATGACTAAGTCGTTTGGATTGACCATTGGGAGTAAAGCCTTGAATGGAGCAACATATGTTGTGCCCTTTTCATCTTGGCCAAGGTATGTTGTAGCGCATTGTGTGAGGGAGCCATGGTAGTTAGCCTTAACTTCTCCGCGCTTTGTATCCCAAACAAGACCGTGCTTGTTAGCGTAAACACCGGATGTGAGTGTTGTACCGTTGTTGCCACCCCAGCCAATGAGCATGACACCGGTCTTTGGAACATGTAAATCTGTCTTGAACTCGAACTTCTTTGTTTCTGGGACAATCTTGATGCCATCAGCGCCAGCAACGACGTGAGATGTATGGTAGTCATAGTGAGAAATCATTTCCTCACCCTTGATGGTAACATTAGGTGCGTCAACAGAGAACTCGTTAGCGAGCATTCTTGAGAAATGAAGTAACCATTTTCAATCCGAATTTTTACGATATTCAAATCAATTTGTGAGTGTTAAGACGGTTTTCCGCTCAGTTTGCGATCATTAATGATTACCTCTAAATTCATGTATCTATCTATTTTTAAAGCGAAAATTTTGATATTGTCTAAAGGTTAGAAATTGAATTAAAAATAAGATAGAGTTTTTGAAACTTGTCGATAATTCTAATTACACCTCATTGAGGTATACAAATATATTAATTGATCTTAATTGATAGCAATTAACGTTGCTAATTGAAATTTTTCGGTATGCTTATAATAATCGATTTAATTCAGGGATTTTATAATTCTCATTTTTCAAAAATTTCGCAGATCACTTCAAATAAAAGAGAGACCAGACATATTGAATGCAACTATTGATGATGTATTTCCTATTTTATTAAACTAGATACCCTTATCCTGAGGATCTTAACCATTTTGATCGACGAAAAACAATTCAATTTATCAAATAAAGCTACCGTCAACAATATATACGAATAAACAATTATACATTAGCTTTTATAGCATTATTCTTTTGGAAATATCATAATTTGACCACTAATTTCAAAAAATTACAGGTATCTTCAAAATCCTGCGAAATGATCGGAACTCAAATTGCACATTTGAATTCTTTACTAAATCTATCTGTTTTTTTAGTTAAAAATTAATAACATGATATTGAATCAGTATAATGATGCAGATTTACAAAGAATTGCAAAGTTTTGCATCAGAGGAAACTTTTTATTTTCTTTACTATTTAAGAATAAACTGAAATTTTGAAGCTACTAACTAATAATAAAAATAAATTTTATATAACATAGAAATTTTTTAATATATATATATTATTTTAGAACTATAACAAATATTTTTAATATCTTCTTCTATCCTGTGGCGGCCAATTCCTTGGCGGCATATCTCTCATATCTCTTGGAGGCATTGGAGGTGGAGGAGGCCCACGCATATAAGGATCTCTTGGATCGTAAGGAGGCGGTGGTCCGCGCATGTAAGGATCCCTTCCATATGGCGGCGGTGGTGGTGGAGGATGTGGTCGAGACATATATGGGTCTCTGAGGTCGTATGGCGGCATTGGTTGATGTGGGCGATATTCTGGCATGCCAGAAGGTGGTGGTGGCGGTGGAGGAGGAAGTGGAGGTGGCATTTGTTGAGGCATATCTCTGATTTGTGGAGTAATTTGTTGAGAAGCTGGTAAATCTCGAATTAAAATCGGTGGTTTTTGAGGTTGTTGAGGTACATCGCGTGCTATTGGTATTCTAATGAGTGGTTTGTTATCTGGCTTATCTAATTGTTCATTCTTATTATCAGGGCCTGGACGATTAATTGTCTGTATGATTGGTATATTACGTGGACGTATTTCAATGGTGTTATTTGGTTGAATTTGTGGCCGAATGTCAATTCTTGGTTCAATAGTCGGACGTTGTGCAGCAGATATTGGAGGAGGTAGTCTCTGATCGAATGCTGGTGGCATATTAGGTCTGGCTGCCATGATTGGCGGTGGACCTGAAATTCTTGAATCGATTGGAGGAGGAAGCACAGGCGGAGGTAATGGAGGTGTTATAGAAGGTGGTGGCAATATTTCTAGAGGAGTTGATGGTGGACGAAGGATTTCTGATTTATTATTTGAAGATTCTGGCTCACCTTGGTCGGCATTAAGCTCAAGGAAGGACTTCTTTTCTTTCTCTAATGATCCCGAGAAGTAAAATGGTACGATATTTTCTAAGAAATCTTGTGGATGTAAAGGAATCTGAACTCTGTCATCTTCAAACAAGAACGGTGCTCTTTGACCATCAAGAGCTTCAGCAACAGGGGATTTGTTCTTTGCAAATGATGGAAAAGAATCCAAAATTTCGACTTCGACTCCTTCTCCAAGATCTGGGGATTTTTCGACCTTTCTCGCAATTTTGATTAGTTCGTACTTGGATTTAATGTTGCAATATACAGTTTTAGAGGAATCTTTATTTGATACTTTTGGAATTATGGAAACAGTACCCACACGTGCGTATTTACCTAGAAAATCATGTACATCACTTGTTTTCACCCACCATGGGCATCCTTTTATTTCCAATACTGCTGAATTTACACTTTTCTTATCAGCAGACATGAAAATAAAAAATTGCTTTCTTATGAAATTGAGAAAATACAATGAATATAGCATTAACCTTCTGGAAAACATTATTTTTGCAAGAAAGCTCAAAATAATAATTTTGACATGTAATTTTACGTAAACTTCTGAAAATATTGCAAAAATGGAGAGGCGAAGAGAAAACCTCGTTGACCTCATCCAAGCTGCATTTGCAACTGTAATTAGGCGTGAAATAATGAATGCAGATACGCAATCATATGAAGAAATGGAAAAAGCATGGGATGAATATTCTATAGAAAAAGATCAAAAATTTCTCGATGCTTGTGACAAATTCTTGAATGATGCAATCCAGGTAAAAGAGAAAATAGAAGAATTATATGGATTTGAAGTTAAATCAAAACCGTTATCATATTATACTGGAAAAACAGCGCCAAAATCCAATAATCAGCCTGTCAAAGTGATAAATGAGAAGAAACAAGAACCTTCCACTCCAATTTTAACACAAAAACTTGAAAATTCACAAATTTCAATTTCAACTCAAGAAAATACTCAGAAAAATCAAGTCCCTACTCAAGAAAGTTTGCAAGAAGAAATTGAACAGTCTCAATCAACTCCATCTATTAATGAAAACAAATTTAGTTCATTTTTAACGACAGATACAGAGTTTTCCGAATCAAATACATCATATAACACTACTCCTCAACGGTCATATCAGTTTAATAGCGTTCAACAACGTTTGAACAAATTTATCCCTTCAAATGAAGCTCAAACTCAATTTTCGGAATTACCGAAGTCTACACATGATCCTGATACTCCTAAAACGGCTGAAAATCCTCAAAATTCGTTTCATTTTATTTCATCAACTGATACTGATACTCAATCGCAAATATCAGCCAAGGATCAAGTTAGTCAGTCAATAGATCAAAGTGAAATCCAGAAAATGCTTGAAACAGAAACAGAAAATTATGATTCTGGCGAAATCCCAATTAATAAAGAAGAAAATCAGTCTAATCCAAATAGAACACAAGAAAATGTTTCACAGAAAGAAACTTCCCAGCAAGAGAGGCCTAAAAATCAACCAGATAATATTCAAACTGAAAATCCTAAAAATGATACAAACCTATCCTCAGATACTAATAAAAACCCTACTCCTGCACCAGAACAACCGAGAAACTTATCGACAAATCTTTCTGGACCTTCAGATTTCGTCAAAACTAAAAATGTCAAGAACACACCTTTAGAAAGGGTTGACAATCCATGGTGGGACTTTGATAGCTTTAGTCAATATAAGTAATCTATATTTATTTTAAATTTCTTTGTTTTTTGTAATTTTATCTCATAAAATTGTTTGTTTATTCTTAACTTTTGTTCTTATTTCTATCTACATTACTACCATGTGCTAGTTTACTGATGGATCATTCATATTTTCATATTTCATGCAATGGGAGAATCCGATTGACGGATTGCCTAACAAACTTGCAGAAACTAGTCATGAAAATCGTGGGTTAGATCTCCTGTATAGCTATGATGAAGGGAATAAACATCTAAATCTCAAAAATTCAAATAATAAATCCAAAAATTTAGCAAAAGAAGACTTAGAATCATACATTACCAAAGTTTCTATGCATAATAAGTACATGGACTTCTTTAAATACGTCAATTTTGCTCTTCCGACAGAAAAAATTACACAGCCAAACCCAAATACATACTATTGTGTCGATGGATTTACACCTCGACTATACCTTGACATCATGCATAGCTCTGGCATACCAGAAACTAAATATTATGACGAAGCAACAGTAATTGTTGGATCATCTAAAGGACCACCACTTCAGAACATATTGATGCCAAACCAACGAATCGAGAGATTCCTTAGAACATTCAAAATCGGCTCAAAAATCGGTCTACATGCCAGTTTAACCATCTACAGACAACATACTCGCAAAAATCTTCCATTTTATCCACAAACATACCTTATTCCTGAAGAAATGGATTCTTTCAAGAAGCATTTTACAGACCACGAGATCTGGATCGTCAAACCTACAGGCGGTTCATGTGGCCGAGGAATTTTTTTGATAAACGAGATGCCAGAAAAGTTTAATGAACAATACATTGTTCAACAGTACATTTCCAACCCAATGCTTGTCCACGGACTCAAATTCGACTTGAGATTCTATGTTGCCATGACATCTCTTAATCCTCTTCGTCTTTACATTTATAGAGATGGATTAGTTCGTCTTGCAACTTCAGATTACAAAAACTGTCAAAATGATTTACAAAATCTTTCCGCCCATTTGACAAATTTCACGTACAACAAAGACAAGCCAGGCTACAAGTACACGGACGACTTGAAGTTCGATGGCGAAGGCAACAAATGGTCGCATGATCCATTGTGGCCATTCTTAAGACAGCGTGGATATGATACCGACAAAATCCGGAAAAACGCAGAAATCGCAATTGTTACAGCTTTCATTGCTAGTCGTCCATACTTTTTTGACCAGAAATATCCAAGAGTGTCTACAGAACTTTACGGTGTCGACATGATTCTCGATGATAAAGGAAATGTCTTCATGGAAGAAGTCAATGTTGCTCCTGCTCTTGGAACTAAATCTAAATTGGACATCAAAATCAAAGCACCACTTTTGACTGATTTCCTCAATTTGTCGTTGATTCCTGAGAGAACAGAATTGTCTAATTCACTTGAAGTTCTTATGGAAAGCAACAAGAAACTCTCTGAATATGTTATATGTCGAGAGTTCGAAGAAGCTGAAAGAAGACTTGGAGGGTGGCACAGAATTTATCCTACAATGGAAACTGTTTCAATCGAAATGCCATCGGAAACACATTTTGACAGAGTCTTGAGAAGATGGATTGCAATGAATTATGCAGGAAAACTTAAGTACTTGAAAGACCGTGAATCAAATCTTAGCTCTGTGCTTTCTATGGTTGAATACGTAACAACACCATGCACAATTTGTTAAATTTTGTTTGTTTGTAAATATTTTTTTATATATATATTACATATCAAGTTTAGACTTTAAAATGCTTATGATTTTTCCATGATGTCACAATATACGCAAAGGAGGAATATTCAAAGCTATTGTATCTTTTCAGTAAATATCATTTTGAACTGCGAATTGGTCTGTCAATATTTCCTATTTTTTAAAATTTATCATTAGTATCGGCGAACTCTTCAGCAAGCTAGGAGTGGTGGCTGATATAGAGGAGGTAATGTCGTTCTATATTTCAGATTTAAAAAAGAAATATATTATAATTATAGTGAAATCAATTCAACTTAGCCAAGTGTGATGGGAGTTATTTGCATTTTCCATGTTAAAATCATTAGTATACTGGGTGATGTATAGATACTGGCATAAATTTTTGTGATTAATGAGAATAATTTTAAGGATGTATCGGAATTTCTTTGAATCTCAATTTTGAAAAAATTTGTCAAAAACAAATTAAATTTCTGAATAGAGTAGTTGAGCGATTTTTCATCATCTGAATTTCTTAACGGTAAGTCATATTGGACTTTCTTACGATCATCAACAAGTCCTGTTCAAGCTGCCCCTCTTACATATCATCTCAATGGTATCTTATTTTCTAGCATCAACAATTATGGCGTCATTCGTCTTATTTCCGAAGCATCAATTTTGATACTTGAGCATAATTCCTTCTCTTCGATAACATCCAATCAATTTGGTGGCTGTGTTCTCTTTAATCCTGGCCACTCAATTTATCAAAAAGATATCTGCGCCAAGAACGTCCGTTCAAGTGTAAAAGCTAACTATTGCTTTATTAACATATCACAAACTTCAGAAAACATAAATTACATTTCAATGATATCTTTAACTGATACTTCAGCACCTTCTATATATGATATGATTTGGAACAATGGTGGTAAAACTTCAATTTCAAATTACAATTCAACAAACAATAACGTTTATTATTCGCCAGCTCTTTACTTTGGAGATGTTGTTGGTCGTGCCACTGCATCGTATTTAAATGTATTATCAGGAACGGCAACATTTAATGCTATAATCTGCTCCGATTCTGCTTCTACTTATAAATATTCAATTTTTTGCAAAAATAGAGTTTCTGATTCCAGTCAGTTTTTCTTTTACATCAGAGAAAGAACGTCAATACTCGATCATTGTGTCTTTTCAGAAAATAATGCACAAACTTTTCTAAGTGATCAGATTTCAGTTTCATATTGTTCATTCCATCTAAATTCGTTTAGTTATACATCTTCATCTAGTCCATATAGAGGGCTGTATAATTTCGTTGTGAATACTCAGTGTCACATGTGGAATCACAACGACTGTGTCAAACAATTTTCATGCGTTTCTCAATATTTCAGAATGAATTCATTTATATCTTCCTTTTCTATATTCCTTCTTTTCTTTTAGCTAAAACTAAAGATTTAATATTAATTTTAAATCTACTCACCAGCACTAGATTTTACAATAAAGAGCTGTCATTGTCCATAATGTGTTCGTAATTGCCATATGAGCCTGTTTCATTGAGAATTATAAATTTTTTTTATGTTGTACGCACTATATTTGTCTCATTAAGATAAACAAAGAGAGGAATAGGTAGATTTTACTTCTTATCCGCATTGATCCCGATGTTTTCGCTTTTATTTTCGATATTTATGTAATTAATAGAATGTCGAAGAAATCTTCTCACTCCTTGTGAGAAATTGAGAGTAAGAATTTTCTAATTGAAAGTCTCATTATTTCAGGAAACATCACTTTGAACTCAATGTGAGTAATCAAATAACTGAAACCTAAGGTAGTTTTACATTAATATAATTCATGATGTTATAGTTATTCTCAGTAGTTTATTCAGAATTAAGAGAAACAAAAAATAAAAAGATATTAAATTTATTTTTTCGTTTAAAGTCAACTTTGATTTCTTCTTTTTCCTTTGTTTCTTCTTCTGGAAGTTTTAGTTCTGTTGAACATGAACTAGTAAAATGAAGATTTTGTGGATAAGCTTCATTTACTGTTTCTGTTATTATGACATCTCCAATTATTTGATTATTTGGTTCATAAATTTGTACATAGCATCCCTTGACTTCAATTTGATCGTTGCCTGCTTCAAAAATTCCCATTTCGATACTGTTAGAATATATACTGCAATTAATAACATAGAGTTTAAAATAACTGAGAATAAGGCTTGTGCAATGATTTTCGAAGAAATTACAAAAAAGCATTGTAAATTCAGGTGATGCGGAAAATGATCCTGAATGAATTGCTTCATAGTTGTTTGAAGGAGACCAATTGTTTGAAAATGTTGAAAATGTTATGTTTGAGTTAGAATTAGGAGTCAGAGAGTAGAAATTTGTGAAAATCAGTTTTGAATATGAAATATTGATTGATTTTAAATTTATTTCTCCATTAAATAAGTAAATATTACTGTCACCTTCTTCGTTTTCATAACCACTTGAAGTGATTGTTGAGTCAAAGATATAATTCTTAAATGGAGATGCAGATGAAACCGTAACATAACAGTACACACCTTGTCTTAGTGTTCTCGAGCCAAAACTGCAGATTCGGTTTTGAATACACTCGCCTTTTTTTAAATTTATGTATAAAGAGCCACCTTGAGAGGTCTTGTGCATGCATTTGTCAAATGAGCTTGTTTCGATGAGAAATTTAAGATTGTCGCTTGTTTTGTCTGTGATGTGAACTGCACCTGTAGCAGTGAGGCAAATAAAGAAACAATAAGAGACATAATAGCTCTTACCTGCATTGTCACCAAGTTCTTGGCTTTTGTTTTTGAATGATGCGTAATCGATTGAAGAACTGAAGAAATTTTCCCACTCCTTGTGGGAAAATGAGAGAAATATATGGAAAGTAGGAATATACTAAGTGCCGGCACCATACTTTCAGCAATCATCACATTGAAATCGAAGTGAAATAGCAGTAAATTTCATAATTATTTTCTGAAAATTTTAGAAAAAACACGAGTAGGTGACAAAAGTGCATACTCTTAAACAACCGTCGGATTTCCGGGTGAAATCGTGACACACTTTCGTCTTTCGTAGGCAGTGGTGGTTGTTACAAAAGGTAACTTCGAATGTAGCGTGAAATCTGCAAAAAAAATTCTGAAATTTGAATGGAGAACACAAAAATTGAATAGTTTACGTCAATAAAAAAGAGAAAAATGAAGCCAATGTGTCTCGAACCTAGGACTTAGAGCAGCAATCCCACTGTTTATCCCATTACACTACATGCATCTCTCACCTCACTGAATGAGATCAACTATATGATAACTTTTTCCCCATTATATTCTTGTGGAAAAGTGACAAATAGCAACTTTGACCCTCTCTCGAAAAAACACATCGTCTCTTTGGGGAAAATTTCGGGTTAATACAACCGCAAAATAGGTGTGGAGCTTGTTATAGTGGAGTTGAACTGTACTAAACTCCAGATTTATAATAAAATCTCAGAAATTCCGAATGATTTCTGAAAATAACCCGAATTATCCTATAAGAAATGCACAATTGGATGCGATGATTGTTGTAAAACCTATGGCATATCATGATATTGTTAATTATTGTTCTTGACCAATTTTTTTCCAGAAAGTGAATTTGACAGATTGATGAGTTCACCTCACGATTCAACTGAAATCAATTTCCTCCTTCATCGCGAAGGCATCAAGCCTATTGACTCTCAACTTTTAGTACAATCACAAATATATATGGGCGAGTGCTTAGAAGAAATCAAAAAACTGTTTGAAATCATTTTAGAGAATAATCCCACGCAAATTGCAGAAGTAATCAAAAGAGTCTATGAAATTACAAGCTATTTCCAGAAAGAGGTTCGAGAGATACTTCCAACTGAAGTTATTATGATATTATTATCTTATATCCATCTTGATCCATTTATTATGGACTATATCTCACTTTTGATATACAGTCAGTATGATATTTACAATGAGCTCATCGAATTCAATATATTCCACGTCATTGATACTTTATTCCAAAATCAATCTTCATCTATCAATATCTACTCATTATTAATTCTTTTGAGATATACCATACAACTATTTGTATCCAGAGAAACCGAAGAAACAGATTTTCCTTCAGTAGATCAACTACTTTTAGAAAATAATATTTTTTCTCATCTCAAAAAGGTGCAATTGACTACGATGTACCAACAAGAGATCATGAAAATGATATCGGCACTATCCAATTACTACGATTTGTATGATGAATTTTATTATTTAATTATTCCAGTAGCTATGATTGATGATCCCATTATTTGTGATGTATTCGATGCATTGAAAGAGATTATATCGAATAATTGCACAGAATTGTTCGAGAAATTCATTTTCGGAGATAAATTTCTGAATTTTTTGTTGGAGTTGCTAAACTCAGACAAGAAGGACCAAGCGATAAAGATGTTCGCAACCATGGTCTATTTCGGTGATTCCACGATCGAAATTTTTAATAATCTCCATATTATAGAAAAAATTCTTGAATTGACAAACGATGAAAACGAATCTGTACAATTTAATGCTTTTTCGTTTTTTGACGCGCTTTCAATTTCAATTTCCGAAATTCCTCCGATATTTACGAATTTCAACTTACTTGAGTATTGTACGAACAAGTCTTTCAGGATTATATCAATAGCTGTTGAAGTTTACCTGAAATACTTGAAGTTTATGCCTGTTCAGATTATTTTAGATTCAATCAACGAAGAAATTATTTCTTTTTGTTGCGAAGTGGCTTCTTCTGAGAATTATATGGTAAAACATTCGATCTGTCTATCAATTAAACAGATTCTTGATTCTCTCCACTTAAACGATGATGATATGGATGTTTACAGGTCAGTATTGATTGAACATGACTTGTATGACTATATAGAAGAGATTTAACTCTTTATTCTGTTTATTTTCTGTTAAAAAATTTATTTTATTCATGAAACTAAAAATTTTTTCATGTTAAATCATGCTAGAACTTGCTTTAGACGAAGTGCGATATATTCCTATTGTAAATATCTTCTTGGTTTGTGAGATATCATCATTGAAATTGATTTATACATAAACATTATAAAAACGGCTAAATAATGTTCTTTCTAGATATAGTGTATATATTTCCGCTATATTTTTTGATATAAAAATAACTTCTCGCAATTTGATATGGATTTATTAACTCAATTAGAAAAATAGATAAGCTTGGTATTTGAAATACAATACAAACAATATGTTTATTCAGTTTTTGGTTTCTCTTGAGGAATATTTTTTGTTCGAATTTTTCCTTTTGCGTCAAGAATCATTATTATGACTGTTATTACAACTAAAGGTGGTAAAAGTATTGCTTGTGCAAATTGGTGGACTCCTTCTGCATAAGAATCATAATAATATGAAGTAATTCTCGAGAAAATTCCATCCCCTGGTCCTTTTCCAGGTAAAGTACCATCTTTAACAGATTTAATCCAAACATTGGCTTCATTAATATCTGTATCATCTCCTAAAGTCCAAAATAATCTCTTAGATTTATTCCAAACTACGAATCTAACTTTTCCTTTATCAGCACCTGTATACCTACAAAAGTACTGGATTCTCTCACAGTAAGCTGTAACTATTGGCATTGAATAAGATAAGTTACTTGCGATTGTTAAACTCAAATCTGTCATATCTTCATTACTTATAAACGCCAAGAATGGACTTTTATAGTCTAAATAAAATTGGGCAACAATTCCGCTCAAATTTGAGAAAACTGGAAAGGCATGATCAATAATGAAAATTTTCACATCATTCAATGACCAATTGCCATTGTAAACAATTGGAAATGTATTTCCATTATAAATCATCAGTGATAAGTCAGCAGTTTCGTTATAAATTGCGAAGAAATTGATTGGATATTCTCTGAGATTTGTAGCAATTTGCTTGATAGTTGTAATTTCTTGATCTTCTGTTCCATTGAAAGTGAATATAAAGTTGGAGGTGATCTTGTTGTCGTTCACCATTTTCCCAATATCTGTAAATTCGATGAATTGTAATGGTGCATGAGGTTGTTTATTGGTGAACTGTGTTAGATATCTTATACTTCTGCCACTTGTATATGGAATTGGAGTACTATTTCCTGGATCAAACCATTTTAATTGTGGATATCCCCCAGAAGCGAATTCTTTACATGTATTCTTATTGCTTTCGCATTCTATTTCGGCAACTGTAATGTTTAAATTGTATTCTGAGAAATTTTCCCATGTTGGAGCGAATTCTCTACAATGTTCACACCAAGTAACCCAAAACTTGACGAACAATGGTACTCTATTGGGATTTTCTACTGTACTTGTAAAGTTCTTATCTGTCAAGACAACAACTTTGCTGAATGAAAGGATCAATAAAAAGGATAACATTAATATAAATGAATAAATCATGTTGCTACAAACTATATGACCTATTAGGTATATGAAATATCATTCAAAGTCACTATTGATCCAAGATATTAAATTTGAATATCTGATCATATGAATATAAATTGTTGATTTTCAGCATATAGATATACCTTTGATCAATTGATTTAAATGGTATAGATATAATTTGTTATATGTGGGGTTGTTTAGTTTTTTGAAGCTATATTACTTCTATTTTAGTGTGTTGGGATTGGTCCACGGCGGTAGACACGCTTGACGTGGTTGCCACAGTCAATGATCTTGCCGTTTGCCTGGAGTTCCTTGAACTGTTCGAAGGTGTATGGTGTGAAACCGACCTTGTTGGAGATGACAATTCTTGTGTGGCCTGGGAACTTGTATGAACCACGGCGGAGGGCTTCGATGGCGTGCTTGAGACCATTTGGAATTGTACGGATGGACATGATCTGGGAGTTGTAGTGAGCACGTGCGACGAGGCCTTCTGGCTTACCGTAAGCGTGTCTCATACCTGTCTGAAGTCTATCAGCACCGGCTGTGGAAAGCATCTTGTTGATACGGAGAACGTGGAATGGGTGAAGCTGGATTCTGATGTGATAACCTTCCTTGCCCATTGACTTCATCATGTATCTGTTTGTGCTGACACGAGCTGCTTCGAGGGCTTCGGATGAAACGTTTTCACGCTCGAGAAGGATAAGGCGGCAGCAGATTGGGAGTTCCTTAGCATGAGCCTTCTTGACGCCTGTCTCATAACGGATGATACGTGGATCTGGGACACCACGGCAGAAGCGAGACTTTGGGAATGGCTTGTTACCGATGTAGCGATAGCAGCGAGCTGGACGACGGCCCATTGTTTAAAAAGGAAGGCCAAGAGGTTATTTCATGAAATATTAATGTATATAGTATGTAGATATAAATTATAATGTGTTGTTGTTTCAAAAATTTTTCAGAAATTTGAAAATGAATTCAAAAAATTAAGAAAATTATATCAAAATTAATATTTTGCGAAAAATTTGGAAAAATCAAATGCTGTAATAATACTTTAATTTTAATTTGGTTTTCATATCCATTCAAATTTTCTTATTGTCCTCAATATTTCGCATTCAATATTTAATTGCCTCTTCAAACAAATGATAAAACAACATTGTTAAGACTTATTAGCAAAGTTTCTTCATAATATTACGAATTAAAACGCATTCTGAGAAATTTCACTCAAAACATAAATAACTCTTAGTGAATCCTAGTCTACAATGCTTGTAATCAATAGAAATCGCATTTCTAAAGTGGGTTAATTTCATATCTTACAAATTTATGTTAAAATTTCGGAAAGTACAAAGATATGCCCTTAACTCAATATACATAGTCTATTTCATCCAAAATATAGTTGATTCATTAACACGAGCATTTCCAATATTGATATTTGATCAATTTGATATCTGCTTTCTAACTCAAAATCATGTTTTTTGGTTAGAAATCATAATAACTCCTGTTGCCATCATGATTATTTATATTGATAACATGTTTTTGATAGAGAAAATAAAAAAATTGTTGTAATTTTAAAAGGAAAACTCCGAAAATCAAGAAAGTAATTTACTCATGAACGTAAACGTGGTGTTCAAGCTTAGCATCATCATTGAACTGAACCTTGATTTGTTCTGGAACAGCGTGTTCGATATAGTTGCCCTTATCCTTTGGATCTGGGTATTCGAGGTTGATACCTGTAGACTGGGATGAGATAAGCTGAACTTTTAAGGAAGCCTCGTTAAGATAGATTTCAAGGCTATCGCACTTATCGCATGTGATTGTCTTGACAACACCCTCGCAGTAGATCTTAGAGCGCTTAAGGCCGTTAAGTTCAAGGACGCCAATAACGTCGTTTGGACTAAGGATGATACGCTCGCAGCCAAGAACGGAGAGAGCCTTAACCTTAGATGGGATTGTGATTTCGCAGTTCTTGCACTGGAAGATGTTGACGATATCTTCGTGCTGGAGCTTGGGGAACTCTGTAACCTGGCCAGATGTGAAGTATTCGACCTGGACCTGGTTCTGAGCGCCGACACGCTTGACGGATGGTTCCTTAGCGACTGGCTTTGGACCAATGCCGGCGAGCTTTCCAGCGAGGCCTGCAGCCTTGGCGGCCGGCTTGGCTGGTTCTGGCTTAGCTGGCTTGGCTGGGGCAGCAGCTGGAGCTGGAGCAGCAGCAGCTGGGGCAGCAGCGGCGCCACCGAGAGCGAACATTTCTGGTGTAGCCTTCTTGCCACGGGCATTGAACTTGATGCCACCCTTCTGGTAGTCGTTAATGTATGTTGGGATAGCCTTGCAAGCAGCGACGAAGCCTGTGACCCAGTTCATCTGCTTCTCATCAACACCACGGTACTGCATTGAGAGCTTGTTTGTGTAGCACATGACAGAGCCTGTCATTTCTGTAGCGTAGTCTTCAGCAGAAGCGCCGATCTGTGGCCATGTAAGGAGTGTCATAGCTTCGTTGACAGCCTTAAGATTGTTGACGTGCTTTGTCTTGAAGTGCTTGTCACACCACTGGATACCGGCCTGAGAAAGCTTGTTGAGAACTTCGAACTGAGCGTTGTTATCTGGCTTAGCGCAGCGGCAGCCAACAAGGATGATCTTGCGTGTAGCTGCGAACATGTTTAAGACGAGTTGTGTCATTTCGGCAAGTTCTGGATCGATAGCCTTAGCAGCATCCATCATCTTCTTAAGATGTGGGTTGAAGGTTTCATCATAAGCTGTAACGGCTGGGTAATCTTCTGTTTCCTCTTCACCAGCATCGCCGGCTGGAGCAGCAACGCCGCACTTCTCGAGTTTAGCTGCGACAGCTTCAAGACGGGTAACAAGGGCTTCAAGCTTTGCGTCCATGTTAAAAGTGAAGTGATGACCTCAATAACCGCAGGATATTCTCAAATTTTATGGACAATATTTGATTGGCTAGAAAAATGAAATCTCTGCATTAGATACCTGATATGAGCTACAATGCGGAAACAAAAACCGATTGATAAACAAGATTTTTTGCCAGAAAGATCAAAAAAATATTTCGAACTTTTGATATAACATTCTTAATAAACAATAAAAAAGAAACCGATTCCGACTAATTCGTTCATATGTGTTAGGAAATTCCATGCAACAATCTAAGGTAGTCACAAAATCTAAGTAGTGAGGCTCTCAAAAATTGAACCGTACTCCATACAAAATTTGTGTACCCTCACTACTTAGATTTTGTGGCCTTCAATTGAGAGGTTAGTTTTGATAGAGCAAGTTATAAAATTAAAAGGGAAAAATAAATAAAATTTAAACATTTAATTATATATAATGTAAGGAGTGTAATTCCAAATTTTCTAAAAACTATTCAAATTTGAGCATTTTTTTGGAAATAGTAAATCTAATATGTACATCTAATAACAACATGATTCATCACCTTTTCAAGCTCTGCAGTCAATTTTTTGAAATTTGATTGAAATAAATGTAGCAAAAATTACATTTCATTAGGGAATATATGAGTTTCTCTGGAAACAGGCTGATAAATTTTAAATTTTGTCCAATCAACATGAATGCATTGAGAAATTTGGATTGATTTTCTGGTAGAATCTGGAACAATTCAACCATGTATAAATGGATCATGTAATCATCATGAAATGTTAGTGTTAGAGTTCAAAAGAAACAGAATGAGTGGAAATCAAACACAATCTGAATAATTTTAAACGTATACAATCTTTAAGTTTGTATTTTGAATTCTACATATATGATTGTGTAATTCGTTCTTTCAAATTTTCGGATTCAGGCATGTTTTGATAAAATTCATTCCCAAAAACGTCAATTAACAATTAAATTTAGTGTATTTTAAATATATATACGTATTATATTTTATAAATTATATTAAATTCGCAAAATTTTAAGTTTTAAACAAAAATAAAAAATGTTCAAAATATGAAATTATGCATAGGATATTAAAATTTACATGTTAGCAATTTTTTTGAATTGCTTTCAATTTTCATATTGAAATTTTTAAGATTTTTTTCTGAAATAATAAGCAAGAATATCAACCTAAATAATATTAAATTCCATGCGTTAATTTCCCCTCAAAAGTCATTGACCGCCTCTCAATCTAGATTTTGTGAGTACTTGAAATGATGGGCTACCGAGATGTTCAGTACATAATGCATAGGGAGTTATGACTTGAACGATGCAAGCTAATCCGATTTTTGAACTACTCTCGATTAATTTTTCCAAAAATTAATGAAGCGAAAAACTTTTTGGCAATCATTAGCAAGCTTCCTATGCAATTTGAAATCGTGTTTCATTAACATTATTAACCCAAAATCAATTAGAGATAATGTCGCCATCGCATTTCACCTGACCACAAATAACTAACGCCCATAAATAATCCACTAGTCACTGGTTTCATCAGAAGAATGCTTGACAATGCTTAAATCAGAAAAGTTGCATTGATTTTCGCATAAAACATCCTCTTGAGCCGCCAAGACTTCAAAATTTGAAAGGATACATATACAATGCTAACAAATCACATAACAAGGCTTTTACTTATATCTTTTATTATCAGTTCCTGAGTTTTGAAGACGGTAGCATTCCATTGTATCATTTAAGGCCTGAAAGAGCTTTTGTATTTTCCCAATCATTTATCTATCATTATAGGAATACTATTAAGAGTGTTTTGACCTTGAAAATGAATATTATTCATATACTGATTATATTCTTGTACACACCAGAAAGGATTAGTGACATATATTCATATCTTAAGCTATTGTTGTACTTTATTTTCTTTGCTAAGTTTGGTCTGATCATTCATAATCATATCATACGTAGCACCGAAATAATATAGGGAATAGTGTTATTAGATTTATATTGTGAGTATATAGTTTTATAGTAGGAAAACTTCTGTCTGCTGAACTAAGTTATCAACAATGAGTTACTGAAAGTCTTATCTGAATGCAAGAATTTGTTAGTTTCAGGCAATGAGTTTGAAAGTTATTATTTTCCTTGTATCTTTGTGAAAATACATCCAAACATATAGATGTGAAATTGTTTTAGTTGCTCTATATAAAGAATGAGATAAATATTTAATAACATTCTCTATAAATTGAATAGATTGTTTATGATGCACTGATATTTATAAAACACGTTGCATCTCATATTCATACTGATATCAATTGACCTCTACGATTAATAGCGTTTAGTAAAACATCTCGATTTAATCGAGCCTAAACGTGAGATTTCCACAATTGGAAAACAATTGTCTCCTCATTCTGTGACAAATATATTAGAATAGATATAAAGTTTACAACATACAAGTAAAATATATATATATAAATTAAAATGCTAAATCTAAAGAAACAGAATCAATATGAAGAATTTCTTGAGTTTCCATATCAAGGAACAAAGTTTCTCTATCCTTACTATCTCTTACACCTAAGAATTTATATTTCTTTCCTCTCTTAGTTACAATTGATCCAGGATAGTAACGAGAGAAACCTAAAGAATAGTAACTAACCAAAACTCTGTAGTTTTGTATCAAAGAAACACCTAAAACAGGAAGATTTCTTCTTACCAATCTCTTATATTTCTCAAGAGCAAATGGTTTTTCATCATTTTTCATGACAAAAGCCTTTCCTTTTATTGCTCCAACAACAATCACTTCATCACCATTTTCTAGCTCCAAAACATCACTTGGAAGAACTTTGCATTCCTTGAAATCTTGTGTATTAACTGAATACCTGACATCATCAATGATTCGCTCTCCAGGACAGTTAATACGTCCAATAAGTGTCACTTCACTTTTATCGACCAATTTAATGCATCCGAAATTGTTTTTGATTTTCTCCAATCTGATTGCGACTTTATCATTCTTTGTTCCTAGAACAGTTGCCAAACTATTCTCCTTTGTTTCAACAACATCAAAACATGCGAAACCTAATTTCATTGTTTCGTTTAATGAAATATTTACAATGACATGTTCCATTGTTTCTAAAAACAATTGTCTTGTCATTCCTTCTTTGTTTGTTCGTGCAACATATCCGGAAAGTTTGGTTCTAAGTAGTCCAAAGTCTCCTGGACTGCTGAAACAATCTGTTTCCGCTAATTGTCCAACAAATTCGACAGCTCCAATATTTGAATCGAAAATAATCGTTCCTTTTTCAGAAGCTGTTTTTACGAAGCATTCACGACCATCAAATAAAGAGTATTTCTCTATGAGATTATTTTCTCTCGATACGGAAATAATTTCCGAAAAAGTAATTTCATGGAAGATTTTGTCTTTTTCTGCGAATAAATGGAAACCTCTTGCACCACTGATGACCGAACCATCGTTAATGATATCTCCGACCTTTAAACCGTTGAATGGAGTCATCGCGCTGTCACTTTGATCGACTGAAATTCGATATCCTTTTGTTGAGTCTGCAAATGCCAATTCACTGTTCTCTCTTTCAAGGAGATCAAATCTTTCTAACACATCATCGAAAGTTATGCCCTTAAGAGGATAAATTTTGCAATCTTCTTCTCGAATTACGACTGGGAAGCCTTCGAACGTACCAATAACCATGCAGTGCTTATCTTCATCACCTTGGACTGTACGATCAAATAAAATATCGCCTATTTGTAAACCAAAATTTGTTAATTCTTCTTCTCCTGAAGTTAGAGTGAATCTTTTACCTTCATAGTCTGTAACATTGATTTCTGATGACTGCATCCTGAACTCTCTGAAGTTTCTGATGAGTACATCACCGAAATCTAAAGGTAATGCGCCATCAACTAACAAAGCTGAGGAATAGCAGCCACATGAGATCTGTGTGACATTGTGGCCGACCATTTTAGTGCATTCCTGGAATTCTGATGAGTTATTTGGGTTCGTAACCATAGTTCTTCCATCTGCAGGGTTTCCAGCAGCAAAAACTTGTCCTTTGAGGTTCAGAACGAGTGTAAAGTCGTCGCCACAGCTTATCTGTATTACAGGGCTGCCGCCGAAGTTGTAGGGATGTCGTAAAACGTTTCTGACTGAAGATGTATTTCCGATTCCGAGGGAACCATCTGTATTTGCGCCGCAGCAGTAAACAGAACCGTCTATATCGACAAACCATGAATTATTGTGATAAGCGAAAACGCTTTGTATTGAAGTTGGTAGATTTGGAACTTGCGTAGGAGTTAATGTCTCTTTTGGCTGCCCTGTCGCTGGAGATTCGCCACCCCATGAATAAGCAACGCCATCTTCTGAGAGAGCTAAGTAATGTGATGTTCCAATTGCAACTTTTACGATATTATTATCAGGAACTCGTATATATTGAACTTGCTTGTGCCTGTTTGCGATGGCAACTCTTCCATCTGAAAGAGCGCACATTAATTGCGTTTGCCCTGCAGCTATGTGTTTAACTGTATCTTCGAGTTTTAATTTTGTAGGAGAATGCGCATATCCTGCACCCCAAACAAGAACTGATCCATCTTCGCTTAATGCTGCTGAAAATTTATCGCCTGAAACAATTTGTTGAAAATTAAATTCTGGAAAAGTAGAAACTAATTGAGGATAAGGACTGTCACTTCGATTGCCAGTACCTAATCTCCACGATTGACCTGATCCCCATGAATAAAACTCATTCTGGCTGGTAACATAACAACCGCTTTTCCAAGATGCAGAAAGAGTTTTAATGAAAGCACCAGGTGGAACGAATATGGGATGCGGGTCGTTGTCATCTCGATCTCTGCCAATTCTATATCCATCAGATGATCCTGCAGTCCATATTGATGACATCAATGGCAAAAAATATTTTTATTTTTGACAATTGTCAAAAATAGGGAGAAAAAAATCCATGTAAAGTTTGAATAATTTTCAAAATATTTTTAGTTTGAAAAAATAAGTAAAAATGTGAAGCGCCGTTGGCCCAATTGGATAAGGCGACTGCCTACGGAGCAGTAGAGTCCAGGTTCAAGTCCTGGACGGCGCGTTTTTTCATTTTTGTTTTTGTATAATGATGTTTGAAATGAATCCTAACATATTTGTGTCTCTTTTTCGTTTTCCGATCAAATACTTTTTGTCCGGATTAGCGTGGGTATAAACAGCGCTTATTCTAAATATTTTTCAACTCATAGAAATATATTGTTCAGGCTAATGTAACGATAGCTTATATTTGGTCACATGAAATATAATTTTTTTTTGCCTTTCTGCCAATGAATCAATTTTTCAGCCTTTTAATCAATAAAAACTAAAGTTAATGGTGAAAGACATATGAATCTTCCAGAATCTGAAGTTGAGTTGCAATTCCAAATTTTTCTTGAAAAATTTTCTTCTTGAATTTATAAATTACATACCCGAGCAGTCTGACACCCTAACTAAATGACAATCTCGACAATTCCCATCTGATAATTGACTGCAGACATGTGATATAAAATTCAGAGCAAGGATTTTAACTGTCACATTTTGAATTTAAAAGGACTAAAATTTAAGATGTCAAACAGCTATAGGAAACATTCAGATCGAAACCCCAAATCTATAGGAGGAAACAATACACGACAGAGGTCAAACGTACCAATTCCTGAAAGAAAAGCTTTAGCGCAATACAGAGTTGTTCAACGTGATTTAGTGTATGTGATAGGAATTCCGACAGAAATTGCACAAGAGTCAGTACTATCCAAGTATGAGTACTTTGGGCAATATGGACCTATCAAAAAGATCGTTGTCAACTCAAATCCACTTCATAACCAAAATTTTAAGCGCCCTACTGTTAGCGCATACGTCACTTTTATTAATATCTCAGATGCTTTAGAGTGTATCTATAGCCTTGAAGATTTTTCATACAACGGGTACAATATCAAAGCTTCGTTAGGAACGAGCAAATATTGTACGAATTTTTTATGTAACCAACCTTGTACTAACCATGACTGCATGTATTTGCATCAGATCGGCAATCCAGACGATTCCTTTACAACAGATGAAATCCAAGAGTTTACGGAGCGATTTACTTCTATCACGCGTCCATCACGCCCTAGTGATTATAACAAGTATAAGTTTCAGGATGCAAAACCAACCGTATTCCCACCGCGTAGAATTTTAACAAAAACAACAGATTTGACAGATTCGACGCAAACACAACATTCATCACCACAACAGCAATACAATAACGCGGAAGATGGCGAATACTACTCATTAGGGGAAGAAGATCAAGAAACTATACAGAATAACGAAGAGGAAGAATCTCGTCAGACAGAGAGTCTTTCTAATATATTTAAATATCGCCCGCTTACAGTACCTCCTTTGTCGGCTGATTATACAGTCGGAATGTCTTTAGAAAAGCAATTGAATCTCGGAACTTCTTCAGTTCGAAGCATTCTTGAAAAATTAGTATAAATAGGATAGACATAATACTATCTCTTTATTATATAGATCGGATAAAGAAATATTATATATTATTTTATTTAATTATCAGACTTTTTTTCAATCCTCCATCTTATTCTTATTACTTGACTCTATTACTATACGAAATCATGATGCTAGTCCGTGAGCTTCTAGTCTGACTAAGAAATTCATTTTATTAAAGCAAATGACTTGTTGTTGAAAAAAAAAAAAAAAAAAAAAAGGTAGTGGGGCTTCCAGGCGCGTTGCGCCCTCTAGCCCTGAAGATGTTTAGTATAAATGAAGTTTTTATTCGGAAAATTGTTAGTCTTCTGGTGTGAATTCGGAGGACTCTTCTTCTTCCTCCATTGCTTCTGGGAAGAAGCCTTCTTCTGGGTCGAAAACATTATATAATGTGTCGCTTTTCACAAATTATATATGTTTTCATGTTTTGTCACTTTTCTGTCACTTTTCAGGAAAAAAACATTTTTATTATTATATATAAATGAATTTTACAAAACCACCGTTACCGTTCTTTGGAAATAAGAGTAGATGTAAAGATATTATATTGAGAGAACTTAAGAAACTACCGAATGGTCTAACATTTGTAGATTTGTTCGGTGGAAGTTTCTATATATCCCATTTGTGTCATATAATATTCCCAGACTCAAAGATTATATGCAATGACTTCGACAACTATATGGACCGTCTCAAACATATACCAGATACAAACAATATATTGAAAGAGTTAAAAGAAAAGATACCTATAGGTAAGATGGAACGTATACCATAGTTAGTATACAAGTCTTGGGTACGGCGGCACTGCGTTCCACCTTACCCAATACTTGTGAATTTGACACTTTACAAAACCGTTAACGTATATTTTACAACATGAACGCAAAAACTAATTTAACCTTAAATATTTACAAAGCCGCCAACCACTTCACTAACGAACTCACTAATGTAAAAAATAAACGTTCTCACTATCGTTCTCACTAACGACTTCACTAATGTTCTCATAAATTTTCCTCAATATCTTCATCATCAGTGTTAACCCTATTGTAGTCATACTTGAAGCCATAAACTTTCTCTAACTTCTTAACGTACAATTTACATAACTTACCTTCGTCATCGTATGGTTTAATGATATAACTATTTCTATCTTTATACACAGTCAATGAAAAGTCAACTGGTCTCGGATGTATTTGAAAGAACATGTTATGCTCAGGAAGGAAGAATAAATGTTTAAATGTATGTTTGTTATACTGTGGAATTCGAATGAGTTGCTTTTGTTCTGTCATTTACATCCAAATAAAAAATTTCAGTAAACTTAAAAATAAAATAAAAAATTAATGATATCACCACCCGCACACGTATGAAAACATAGCACAAAAATAAATTTAGGGTAGAAGGTTAGATCTAACCCGATATCTAACCTCTTTTCTAACCTGTTGAATTCATTGCTTTATAACTCACTGTCGTCTGCTTTCTCCAACTCTTCTAACTTCTTCTTAAGTTCAGCAATGTTGTCCTCATGAAGTTTAATCTTTCTCAAAATACCTTCTCTATCTAATGGTTGCTTTATCTTTCTAAACTGAACTCTACCATCCTTCATAGTATGAATGTAAAAACCTTCTGGAATAGTTCCTGATTTAATGTATTCTACCAAAAACTTTTGTTTCATTGCTTCAGTGACTTTAGTCGTCATTTCAATCAAATAAAAATTTTAATATTAAATAAAAATAACGTTATTTTTTCAGTAAGGAAACGCAGGAGTTTTACGATTTATTTGAGGAGTAGGTTCTGGTTTAAATGTTGGAGTCGGTTTAGGAGTTGACTTTTGAACAGGAGTTTGTACTTCCATAGGTTCAGGAGTTATTGAAGGTTTTGCTTGTGAAGGCGTTGGTTTTGGCGAAGGTGTTGGAGTTTGTTTAACTTCAGCTATTTCAGTATTATTTATAACATTTGCTTTATTTCTTTTCAACATCATTACTGCTCCTGCTGTAGCTAGCAAACCTAGTGGGAGACCATATTTTATATAAGGACTTGACCAAATGCTATTTTTGACAGGAGCTGGTGGAACACCTAACCTTGGTGAGACTGCTCTTTGCCATTGTGCAGCTCGTAAGAAATATTCAATAGGTGCTCCATAATCGTTTGGTAAAGTTTGTTTCATAGATGGTGAAGGTTCACGAGAGCTTGATGAAGAACTCATTTATAAGCTTTAAAAATAAACGTTCATCCTTTATTCCTCACTGTCGTCCGTGCTAAGTTATAGTCATCTAATCTTATTATGGGATGCCATTAGCACGCACCTGAATGGCAAAGCAACAATCCCTCATAAATCCAATAAGTGGCTTTGGTACGTTTTCAGTTGCTAGTTCAATAGGTCCTTTAACAGACAATTTGTATGTTATTGGAGCAGTAGATGTTTGACCTTGTTGGAAGCAAAAGTCCACTTCTGTTGGAAAACCACATAAGAAATGTGTGTTGTCATAGCTATCCCATTTATGTTCCACACTACCATCATCCACCAATGACCTCATAACATCTTCATTAAATCCTATCATATCATTGTTTGTATTGCAGGCGTTCGCAACCATTTCATAAAATACAGGTCCATATGATTTTTCAGGTTCTGCAGGCATATTTCCATAAGCTCCCATGGAAAGCTGAAGATATTTAAACTTAGGGTTCTCAAAATTAACATAATAGTTGTCTTTCTTTCTAAATAGTGCCCAAATACTTTTAACATTAATAGGCGTATAAGCTGCTGTAAATGTTGCACTTGAACTATCTGTATTCTTTGAGAATGAACCGTCCATAGGAATCCAATCCATAACTTTAACAGGAAAACATAAAGCCTCGTTTGTATAATGTTCTACAAGTTCTGTATAAATGTTAGGGTCTAAAGAGAATGACTTTGGATGAATGAAACATTCATTAAAATCCATCTTTGTTCGAAATAGTTGCTGGTTACAGTTGTAATAGTAACTGTTCCACTAGCTTCTACTGCCTTCGTTATCATAGTGAATGGTTCATTCCATGGAACAAATTTATTTGTCGGTGGATTTGAATCTGAAGCAAATGCAACTTTAAGAGTTGGATTGAAAGCAATGATATCATTTACAGATATAGATGTGCATTGTAAGGCGTCGCTACTGAACTTTACTTTAAGCTGAATGTTACCAGCAAATGCAGGAATAAATCTTATAGCTTCTAATGGAAGGAATCTTCTAACAGGAATTCTTAAACGAAGCTTAAAATCAAATGATTTTCCTGCTGTAATTGGACCACTAACAATTTGTCCTGTTCTGCATGTTCCCGAATGACTCCATACATCTTCATGTCGAGTCTTTGAGAAAACATCTACTTTCTTTATTTGTTCGGTAGTTTGTGAGTTTGAAGTTATATATGCTTCTTCTCTTGCGTTGTCTTGAGAATATACGATACGACCATTTGCAAGGATTTGATATCCAGCAACTGCATAGAAAGCGTCATCGAAACCAATCCAAAATCCTGGTGGGTTTGTTTTATTGGAACCTGAACCAATTTCTTTATCTGCAATAAATTGACCTTCCATTTTATACGTAATGAATGTATTGTAAAGGTCCAACATATTTTCACCAGGAGGTGAGAGATTGAATGTTACCCATGTGTTATCTTTAGCAGTTCCAGGTTGTGATGGAATCTTTGCGTCAGAATATTTTCTATTAGTGTCACCAATTTGAACTGCATTGTCTATGATATCGAAATATGAGCGAATCTGATGAATATGCTCTGCTGGAGTAAATTCGTTTAACTGTTCGTTCTGCATGTATTTACTTCGGATAAAAATATCTATTTACTTCATTATTCTCACTCTTCTTCTTGGCATTCGTGGTGGAAGTTGTTTCTTGACATTTTCAATGAACTGTACATTCTCTTTTGTCTCAACTTCTTTCACTGGTGGGTCAGGATTCTTTGACTCGGTTTGTTTTTCAATGAAATTCACGAACTTTGCAATAAGCTCTTGGTTCGTTATTGAAAGAACATCTGGCTTCTTTTCTTCTTGTTCTATTGACTTTTCAGTTTGAATAGAAGGTTTTATATGGGCTTCACCCTTGCCATGCACCTTAATGTTGTCGCTCTCTGCATTCGCTAATGGAACCTTTCTTTTTCTTACGTATATTTTACCATCTTTACTCTGACTTACATAATAGAAAGGATGTTGTATTCCTCTTGCGTCATTTAATATAATAGACTCTCGCTCTGATTTTGACAAGCTCATTTTACATCGGTTAAAGTTTTAATTTTGTTTTTTATCTGCAGTCAAATGACTCAGACAAGTCCTACGGACAAGACCCAGGGGGTCATAGATGTTGAAGCATTGAAGAAAGAAATTCGTGAGCAAATTTTATCCGAACTGAAGGAACAAAAACAAGAACAAAAGCCAGAGAGACCAAAGAGAAAACTTAGTGAAAAACAACTTGCTGCATTAGCTGCTGGAAGACAGAAGAACCCACGTTTGCTGGCGAAAAAAGCTAGAGAAGAAGCAAAAGCTAAAGAAGCTGAAGCAAAGAAAGAGTAAATGGTTTATTTTTATCCGAATTAAATGTATAGACAAATACCTTTAACTGTTGCGTTCAGTAGTGAAAACCCTGACGTCAAAATAAAGGGGAACAGAGTAACGTTTAAGTTTCCAACAGACTGGATTGTGAACATAAATGAAGAGAAGTACATTGGCATAACATCTATGTATATAACACGTGCTTTCAGAAAGGTTGACTTTATACTTCAAGTCGAGATAGAAAATGACGAACAGTCTTTAAGCGCCCAAAACATTCACATATACAAATACTTTAAAGACGATACAACATTGCAACAATGTATGATTTCATTTAATGAGATGTTCGAGAAAAAGTTCAACATTGAAGTACAAACTTTACAGCCTTTACGTGAGTTTCTTGCACAACTGAAAGAAGAAGGTAGTCAGCCACAACTTATAGACTTTCATTATGAATTTAATGAAAATGAAGATGGAACTCATGACTGTCAATTCATTGTATTCTCACCATTCAATGAAGTCGCTAAAAAGAAAGAAAATCCATTACGTATAAGATTTCAAATCTCCGAACCAAGTGATGATTTTAAGAATGTTTTCAATTATGATGCAATGCTTCCGAGGAAAAATGAATTTTCAAAGATTGTAACACCTGGCATTTGGGATAGAAAGCAAGCAATACTTTACTCTAATATAGCCAAAGGCGTTGAAAATGAGTTCATTGGTCATACAAGAACTTCACCACTTCCTAACCCTAAATACTATAAATTAACTGGCTTCAATCGTGAGTTTTGGATAGACATGTACTCCACTCATGACCATAAATGTCCAGTGTTCTTGCCTCCAGATGGGAAGGACTGTCTCTACATTGAAGCACAACTCTTAAACTCTACCATCGCAGTATTGTAAAATCTACGCTAGCTTTATTTTTATCACGAATGACCTCATTGCTGACAAAAATAAATGACCTCAGAACTTCAACTTACGAATAAAGCTTGTTTTAGTCGTTATTGAAAAGTTGAACTTTTCAGCAAAGCAAGGTTGACATGACTTACATAAGTCGAATGCAATCTCTTGACCATCATGAAGTGCTTTGTAAAGTTTCATTAAACTGAACTCAGAGTCTTTGTCATATGTTCCAACAGGTATGTGAATGTTCTTATCTTCATTGTAATAGCATTGTATAGCTTCAGGAAACATTTCATTAGCGGTTAAAGCAATAACATCTTGCTTCACGCCTTTCATTCTGCAGTGAAATGCAACTTCATTTAAATCGTTAGTGAGTAAGTCTATGTAGGTCTTCTTTCCACAGAAAATACTTTTATAAGCTAAACTTTGTTTTCCAGGTGTTATTTCTGCAAAGTCGCTATGAAATTGACCAAGGTTCTTTCCTATAAGTTCTCTACCGTATCTCTTCTTAAACTCTGCTGCAAGCTTTGGGATGTCTTCATTATATAAGTGCATACTGTCGGTATCCTGGTAAAAGATTTGAAGTCCCATGTCCTCTGCAGTACAGAATACTTCATTCATAATACGTTTTGACATAGACAGAATATTAACACCAAGTGGACAGAAGTTAAAGTGTCTGCAAATGCTTTTCGTTAGCTTGAAAATAGTTTTATCTGAACCATCCAAACCTTCGAACTTCACTATATGGTTGTAATTTCTTATAGCATATCTTATAGCATCTTTGTCATCTACTATGGTTATTTTTGACTCAATAGGAGATAGAATAGTTTTGCCATAAATGCTGTTCAGAATGAGTTTTATAATTTCTTGTAAGGGGTTTTCTTCTTTCTTATACTTTAACCTTAACTCAAACAACTTCTTTACTTCATCTCTTATTCTCATATCTCTGTTTCCATCGTAATAGTATCCTTGCAACACTTCACATTTGACACCTTGATATTTTATGAGGTCTTGTAATGTTATATGGTCAACATACATGAGACAGCAAGTGTTTGAACTTCTTGGAACGTTAAGTTCTGGATTTAGTTCAGGGTCGCAAACTATTAAATGAAAGTGTCTGGGTATACCAATCTCTGTTATCTTAATGAGAACAAAGAAGCCAGACATAAACTTTTCACCAATGGGTTCCTTTTGGTCGTCATCGAATAAATGTCTCATGAGATACTCTGTGCTTAACATTTCTTCCTTCAATACTTTTGGAATACCTTCTAAAGTATAAAGTCTTGCTATAGCTGAAGGATATAATGAAACAGTGTCGAAGTCAGCAATGAGTTTCTTTTTGCTCTTTTGTTTCATGTTATCTGACAACATACATCTTCCACCTTGAATGCATCTCGAAATAAATTCTCTTGGTTTATTTGAGAGGTCATAAAGATTTCCATTCGGGAAGTATACTCTGTTCTCAAACAATTTGTTAGCAATAGAACAAATACTAACGTAGTCATAAACGTTTAAATCAAACTCTTTCAATAAGTCATTGCGGAACTTTACAAAACCTTCTCTTAAAATTCTTACATCTTGTTTGCAGTAAAACGTGCTATATTTTTCTAAGTCGAAGTGGTTTTCATCTATTCTGCAACCTTTGATGGAATCTATGTTCTTCATAAATGTATCTGCATCATGGATAAACTTACATGCTTCAGAAATGACACCAGTTCTGTTGTCATTTGCTAACAAAACACTGCTGTAGTAGTTATATGGAAATACTTCTTTCGGTCCTGTTTGTAAGTTAAACATAGCAGGAAATAGTTTAAGCTTCTTATTTATAACACTGTAAGAGTCTTTTATAATAATTGCCCGTCCTTTATATAAACCAGTTATTTGCATTGTTCGTGAACCTTTAATGATGGGAGTTCCTTTCACTTCTGTCATGTGTCTTAAGATGAAGTTTATGTCATAACTGAGGTTATGGAAATATATTAAACTCTTGTCAGGAAGTCTTTCCAAAAATTCTGTTGCACAGTTTTGACCCCAAATACTTTCACTAACTGAACCATCTTCACTGTCATAACAGATGTTAAAAGCTTTATGAAAGCCATCCGTACTACACTCAAAGTCAGCAAAGAAAACGTGCTCAGGTATGAATTTACATTTAGCTTTATTTACTTCTTTTGACTCTGCTTTCTTCTTCAGTTGTACACAATACTTTGGAGCATATGTCAAATCTTTAAATGGTGCAAGGTTCTGTTTATATAAGTCAGTAGTATATGTGAAAAGTTCTCCATAAGAAATAGGTTCGAAATATTTGCACTCCCACAATGTTTTCATAACATCCCATAACGGTGTTGTTCTATCATAACGAACTACATATTTATCTTCTCTCTTTGTATAAATCTTCATCTGTTTCTCAATGTTCATTCCACCACAAGCTTGAGAATTTCTTTATAGTTTCGAATGAAATATGTTGTCATTGGAAGTCTTTCATTTAGCATGTAGTGGTCTTCAACAAGAAGTAAGTCAATAGTTCTAACAGTTTCGCATTCTTTTGGTATGTATCTCTTTATTTCATTATGTCTTGAGTCATTGAAATAACCAATGGTAACATTGAATGCTATACCAGTTGCGTCAGAAATTTCTTGTACTTTACTTTGAGGAAAGTCTCTAACACGAATGACTTCTCTCATGTGGTCAATAGTTTCTTCATTTACTCCAGCCTGAATGCAAGCATAAACGAAACAATTGTCCTCTGTCATAAGTGTTGCAGTTCTTTTGTTCAGTTCATTGAAGATTTGGTAGCGTTCAAGATTTATAGGTAATATGCAAAGATACTTCCAGAACTGACCGCTTCTCTTCTTATAAAACTTCTTTTCACCATTATCTTTCCAAAAGCTTTCTATAAGTTTTTCCTGTTTGCTTAAGAGCTTCCAAAATGGCTTTCTGGTCATTTGTCAGTGTGCTTTCATCTCTATATGGTCTCTTTTTTGGTTTGCCTTTCTTTACATCTGACATCGTTAAGCCTTCATATTCTGTTAAATCATACATCTTTATTTCAGTAAGATTCTTTATGTTTGTCAAGAAGAAGTCATAGTGCATTTCAACAATACCTGCAGCATTTGCTTCTATCTCTGATATAAAGTTCTCCTTCAAGAGCTGATGTAGTAATGTTCCAATATTATTGAGGTTTAACGTAGAACATTCATACTTTCCACCAAGTTTATAACATACCATCCATCTCTGTTGGGAGTTTATTTTAATTTTCTCTAAGAGTCTCATGAAAACCTTACCGAAATGTTTGTGTAAGTAGTCTCTGTTTGGTTCATCTAAAGCTTCGATGTTAAAGTCAATGAGTCTATTGCCTGACTTCACATTCCTCTTCCTATTTTCTTCATCTTTCTTTAACCATCTCTCACCTTCTTTTGGTTTGTCGTCAATGGAACGAATGACATTATTAGCTTTGCGAACTTGTTCTATAGCACTTTTAAACATCTCTCTTCTCTGTTGTTTCAGTGTGTCATCTCTCTTTCGTGTTTCACCAACGTTTGCATTTGTTATGTCAAACATTTCTCTTCTTACTTCATGTGGTACAGCTCTTCTTGTTTCACCAACGTTTGCATTTGTTATGTCAAACATCTCTTGACGAACGTCATGTGAAAGAGCTTTACGAGTATGACCAACGTTTGCATTTGTTATGTCAAACATTTCTCTTCTTACTTCATGAGGTATTGAACGTCTATGATATAAGTCAATAGCAACGTCATTTAAAGGAAATGCTCTTGCATGGACTTCGTCCTCGCCGCGTTGCGGCTTTATGAACTCATGAATTCTATCATAAGTTATTTCACCATTATAGTCATTGAGGATGTCAGCGAGTGCCTTTTTGTTTGTTGTGTAATGCTTTGCAACATCTATATTAGCTTCTGTAAGAAGTTGTTTTATTTCCGAGTGTTCTAACTTAGACAACTTCCGATACATCTTTAGTAGGAAATAAAAAAATATTTTTTGAAAAAATTAGATTAGATTTTTTTAAGTTATTTTTCAAAATAATTTAATATTTTTATTTTAATGAAACACATGCAAGATTGCAAGTTCTTTTCATACAATGCTCTCGCTACTGTCATCAAGAATGAGTTCAATTGCTTCAAACGTTAATGTTATCTTTAACAAGAAGTTTGTGAAAGAATCTAAGTTGGTCAGTATGTCAGACCATTAGCTATGTCATTGACCGCAAACGTTATACTTCACAAGAGTTAGCAGTAGTTTTGAAACAAAAGAGTTTCTTCGTGAATGTCAAAGATACTCATTATACTATTATAAAGAACTCCAACATTGACTTCTTCAGTATTGCTATGAATCTTTCCGAACAGAAAGAATATAAGAAGGGTGAAACAAATGTGAAATATTATTCTTCATCTCTGAAAACAATAACGAACAAAGATGTTATACAAAAGTTCTTACCAAAGGTTGAAGAAGCTTCTATTGACATTGACGAAGGAAGTGAAATGGTTGAAGAAATTGACCCTGACGTCATTTAAGCAAAAATATATTTTTGGTTAGTCTTCATATCGATATTTTACAACAATTCCCCAATGTATAAACTTTTCATACGCTTTTTCATAAGCTTTATATACCTTCAGAAATTTTGCATAATCTTTAGAAGCATTTAGATATTGTTTAAATGCTTTGTATGTCTTCAGAAATTTTGCATAATCTTTTACATGTTGTTCGTTCTCTTCTTCTGTCATGAGTTCCGAATATTCTAAATTCATGTTCTTTCATATGAGATAAAATTTTATAAAAAAAATAAAATTAGCTTAGATTTTTTTATTCTTCCTCTTTGAAGTTATCGAAATATTCTGTTATTTTTTCCTTCAGTAATGTTAAGTCTTCTTTGAATGTAAGTATTGTGCAACCTTTGATGTCATAGTGTGTTTGAGGAAGAGTATTTTTGACAATTTCCTTTATTTGCTCATTCGGTGTCATTGAAATCGGTAAGTTTTCACGATAGAACCAGTTTCTGTCAGATTTGTAAATCTTAGCAAGGTCATAAAAGCTTTTGTTGTTTCTTCTGACTAAATGCAACATAACCATATCTCTATCTTCTTCTTTCTCCAACTCTTCAGTATATATCATATACTTATAACTCTTTTCCTTTCCTTTTGGTACCGAACGTGGTATTCTTTTCTGTATGCTTTTGTCTTTGGATTCAATGACTTCATCTTTTGCTTGAAGTTTCTTTTCCATCTCTCCACGTTCTTGTCTATGAATTTCGTCAAGAAGTCTGTAAACATGCCATGCATAACGAGGAGAAGCCCACATTGCAACTGCATTTACTAAAAGTCTATGAACATAATAACCTCTTAAATTTATTGGCAAATTTTTACGATTTTCATGTGTTTTATGCAAGACCGAAAAAAGTCGGTCTAGAGAAATTTCACTCAAAAGTTCTTGTGTGCTTTGGTTTTTGAACCAGTCGTCTGCGTGTTTAGTGTCTGGAGCAAAACATGCTGTCAAAATACTTTGCATTTGGTACATATCGTCTTTGACCGAACGAATGAGACGGAGTTGTTTGTTAAACTGAACCCACTCGTATTCTTCATTTATGGCTTCATGAACGATAGCAGTTGTTGTGTTCTCTGTTGTTGACATATCTGTCCTTACATACAAAATAAAAAAATAAATAAAAATAAAACTAACTTTATTTTTCTGTGTTAAAGAAATGTTAAAAATTCAGGGTTACATATGTGAAAAGAAGTCACGAACAAATGAAGGTCATAAGATTCAGCACATAATTCTGAATTGAATGGTGTGTCATACATGTCAAGCCGTCAAGAATTGAAGGAGATACGAGGCTATAAAGATTTTGGATATTTTCTGACACACACCCTGAGGGAAAAGTGACAAAACACGACGATAGAAAAAAGTGACAAAATTGAGAGAAAGTTGTTTCCCGACCAAAATGCAATCATGTTGAAAAAGTGACATTTGTAAAGTTAGACGATAGGATTTCCTGAAAAAGTGCAAGACTTGTTCTGAATCAGGACAAGATTTGTCTTGAAAAAATACAAGACTTGTTCTGAAAAAATACAAGACTTGTTCTGAAAAAATACAAGACTTGTCTTGAATCAGGACAATTGTTCTCAAATTTGAGAACTTTACAAGAAAAACTGACTAAAAAGTGCAAGACTTGTTCTGAATCAGGACAAGATTTGTCTTGAAAAAATACAAGACTTGTTCTGAAAAAATACAAGACTTGTTCTGAAAAAATACAAGACTTGTCTTGAATCAGGACAAAACTTTACAAAATGTAAACTTTACATAACCGTTTCTATCGTACATGATATTTAGTTGACATTGTAAACTATCTTCATGTAAAGTATGGCGGTTTGAAACCGTCGGGAACCTTCACTTTTTTGACGAACTTTCCGCAGCAATTTTTAAAATTTGTGAAAACTCAACGGTTTGACACGTGCCATATGTCATTTTACTCAGAATTTTGTGCTGAATTCAGCAAAAATAATGTTTATGTTAGCATGTTAGATCTAACACGTTTTCTAACCTCTTTTCTAACATAACTATTTACAAGCGTTTTACATGGTATATGTTGCGATGGTTCATGACTTTAAACAGTTTTGTAGCTTCTATTTCTTCTTTTAGTACATCGAATGTTTTAACAATGCCGAAGGTTTCTTTATATTTCTTCTTGACGTCAGATAGAAGGAAATCGTCAGCAGTTGGATAATTTTTGTTCAGAAATGCTAACATGTCCATTTTATCTTCTGCTGGCTTTTCTACTTCTTTCTTTAAATCTGCATAGTCGTTTCTCATTCTTTCTATCTCTTTGACGGAGTAGTTATATTTCCTCATCGCTGCCTTACATTTTGAACATTGCGGGTTCATTTTTGCGTTATACATTGAAATTTGACCTGCTAAAACAACTAAGGCGTCAATTGCTCTCTTCATCTCAAACATAGCGGGTCTTAGTTGTTCGTTCCATACTTTGCCTCTTCTATCTTTATCTCTTATTTCCCAAACACATTCAGCAACTAATGAAACAAAGTTATCGTAGGTCTTAAATTCTTCAGATTTATATATGTCAGAAACATTCTTATAAACCATGTCGCAATCTTTGTCCATAACTTTATGGTTGCAATGAAAACCAAGGAATTCATAATTTACTTTACGTATGAACTTCTTTATTTCTACTGAGTCAGTTGTTTTGACTTCAATTTCGTCGAATTCAGGAATAGTTAGTTTTTGTTGTTGGATTTCAGGCAATTTGGGTAAATGGTCAATAATGTCCTGCATTTCATAAAGATACTGTTCATTTGTTTCATCTTTCGCACTACAGTCTAAATTACTTGTTAAAAGTTCTTGCTTTATCTTCTGGATTTTTGTTTCGAAAGTATATGAAGAAGGAATGAAGCTTTTCATCTCTACTAACATAGATGTTGGATTCATGACTAACGAGTTTGGTGCTGTAGTTTGAATTGTTGTTGTGCCGATTGTTGAAATCATATCTTTACATACAAGATAAAAATTTTTCTTAGAAAAAAATTAGCGTTATTTTTCTTTCATAAGGAAATGTCAAAAATTCATGATTTTCGAGAGTTTTAGACCATGTTAGAAAAGTGGTTAGAAAACGTGTTAGATCTAACATTCTAACATAAACATTATTTTTTGGTGTAAATAAATGGTACCATTAATGATATCATGACTGTTCTCATTCATGTCTGATTTACATCTAATGAAAAAGTTTAGAAGAATTTTCTTATTCTTTCTGGCATATTTTTGTCTTTCCAGTACTCCCGCTCTAATGGTCCCAGATGTGTTGGCTTTGACTCTCTCAAGTTCTTAGATGGTATAACATCTTCAACACCTCCTTCATATCTTACTTTATAAGTGTCATCGTTTATGTTGTAGCCAAGTATTTCAATAACCACTCCTCGCTTTGCTTCGTCAATGGTTTCAGCAAGTTTGCCATTACTACTTTCAACTAACTTATGTCGAGGGTAAAATGCTATGGAGTCGTCAGCAGCTTTTATAAGATATCCATTACCTTGTGTAGAGTCTACGATATAATAGTTTCTACTTAACCTTAAACGTTTCTTTGTCAACGGTTTGTCGTCAAGAACTACACGAACTTTTGTACCAGGAATGAGGGTAAATTGTGTTGAATTTCTGATATTTTGTGTTTGGCTTCGTTTCTTTTGTATATACTTTTCTTCTTGTTGTTGTGTCATTGAATTTGGTGTATGTCCTGTTGTAGAATGTGTTGAGGAATTATATACTTCGAGAAAATGTTTCATTGTTTCTTCGGTAAAGTCTCGCTCTTGATTTAAATCTCTGAGCGTTCTTATGAAGCGGTTTATGATGCCGAGTATGTTATGGTTATGGTCTTCAGTAGTGTAGTGAGTTATGTTATGCTTAATGAGAAATTCTGTGATTTCATTGCTGAGGTATGCACTGTCTTGGTCTGATGTTAAAGTACTTGGGTTATGTTCTGCTACAAACTTTTGTAAAACTCTTAACACTTCACGAGTTCCTTTATTTTTCATTGGATATGCATATGCTTTACGAGTGTTAACATTTATGAAGATGAGGAATGGTTTATGTCCTCCTTTTCTGCTTTGAATGAGAGTGTCAAATTGGTATGCGTCAGGAGTGTTGGAGTAAATTGGTAAAAAGTAGTCGTAAGGGTTTATTTTTGTTTGATGTACAACATTTTTGTCAAAGAACCTTTTCACTTCAGCTCTGTTAGTAAATCCCCAACTCTTTGCAGCTTCATTGAATTTCTTAAATGACCTCCATGGATGTTGTTCGAATACTTCTTTCAAGCTCATTTATGTAAAGTTAAAGATTTTAACCAACTCGTATCCAAGCGTGCATTGTTATATAAGGAGGCATATAATCTTTTCCATTACCTGCTGGGTCTGTAATACCAGCTACAACATGTGTATGATTTCCTGCAGTTCCACAGAAAATACCTGTGCTAACATCTTTGGGGTCAGTTGTGATATCATATCTATGCATTCCCTGTCTATCCGAACCCGCTGCAAGATTTGTATAACCTCTTTTTGTTATTGAATGTGAATGGTTTCCTTCCACAGATGTTCTTCCACTGAACCTATGCATATGTGAAGGAAGGTTTTCAATACCTATTTTCTTTGAACCTCCCATCTTCATTGACTGAGTATTAGTGTAGAATGGAAAACTGTCAACTATTTCATACCATCTACCACCAAATAAAGTGTTTGGATTTATTGGATTCATAGACGTATAAACAGCTCCTATAGGATATATTAAATCATATATGCTCATAACTCTATAAACATATTCTAAAGAACTTATGTCATTAAATACCATTTGGAATGTATCTCCCGGATGAAATGTTGCATTTGTTCCACTTTTATAATGTAATGTTAGTTCAATAGAATTATCCAAGAAAAATTCAAAAGTATCTGGTTGAAGACCTCTAACAAATTCAAATGGAGTTGCTGGTTCACCATTTATAATTTCTGTTGTAAATGTCATTGTATCTGGTTTCGAAAATTTCTTTGATAGTTCTTCATCTACATAAGTTTTGTCTGCTTTCTTATCTAACATTGGGTAGTTCATATGCTTCAAAGTTTCTGGCATGACTTTCAATGTTCCTGCAACTCTTATCTAAACTGTTAAGAGTATCTTTTACGCTTGTACTTGGATTTTCTAATGGTGCACTTGAACCAAGGTCAAAGTTCAATATTATGTCGTCTGCTCTAACAGTAGTGAAGGATTTATGTGTATGGTTCTTGTCAGCTTTACTGTCTAATGTAGCTTGAAGTTCATTTATATCGGAGATGTTGTGTTTATGAGATTTCAAAACTTTGTTCGTTGCTTCGAGTTCAACTTTGTCAGCTTTACTTTTAATAGCATCTTCAAACGTTATTTTTGCCTTAACTCTTAACATAAATCTTGGTTCAACTAATACACCGTTAACATTGAAAGTAGAGGCATAAATTTCACCGGTATAACCAAATGCTTCTGGTGCTTTAGCTACATCATACTGTACAGTACAGCTTATGTCATAACCTTTAGCACGAATGTATTTATATCTTCTTTCATTAACATTTTTTGTCTTCGCTTCATCACTTCGTGTTAAATATCCATGGTAGTCCGTTATAATCTGTTCGTCTGAAGTTATATAATGAACATGGTTCTTGTCCGCTTTACTATTTAATGTAGCTTGAAGTTCATTTATATCGGAGATGTTGTGTTTATGAGATTTCAAAACTTTGTTCATTGCGTCAAGTTCATTTTTGTCCGCTTTACTATTTAATGTAGCTTGAAGTTCATTTATATCGGAGATATTGTGTTTATGTTCTTTATCTGCTTTTTCGGCTAATTTCTCTTCTATCTCATTTATTTCAAGTTCATGCCTACCACCACCTCCCGAAGAAGTATTTTTCTTCAGCTCTTGAAGAACGTCCACTTCGCCATCTTTGGTGTCAATAATGAGACTTTGAGTTAAAACCTTTCCTGTCTTAATGGATGTTTGTAAAACTTCTTCTTCACCATGTTCGGGGTCATGGTCGTCATCATATCTTGTGAAATCAGAGATGTTGTCATACATTAAGCATATCTGTCTCAAAAGTTCTGCTATTTGAAACTGGAACGAAAGATATACAGAACTTTCATCATCTCCTAAAGTCAAGTCTGCTTTCTTAAGTATTTCTTGAATGTATGCAATGAGAACAGAGTACCTTGGAAAATATTCGAACAATATTTCATTAGCTGTTGGTTTTGGTGGTTCTTTTGGAGTTTCTGTTGTTTCAGTTCCTTCTGTAGGTTCTGTTGGAGTTTCTGCATCTCTTGACTTCAATGCTCTTGCTCTCAAAGACCTAAATGTTAGAGCACCGGGTTTTACAAAGGACTTTATAAATGCTTTAATAGTTCCTGGTAAGTTATTGTTAGCATTAAGTAAGTTCCTTATGCTTCCATCATGTACGTCCATAGCACTATGTAAAAAATCTATACTTTTCTTGTAGTCAGCAATAGACTGACTGTGATTTTTTAAAGATTTGTCAATACCTTTAAGCCAATCTTCATGCATGTCTGATACTGAGCCAAGAATATCATTTGCTTCCTTTAGTGTATTTTGTGCTTGTCGTAAAGTATCCAATCCCGTACGTGCATTGTTTGCTATACGTCTTACAGTATCTATTTGACTCCTTGTTTCTTGCATCCAACCAGATAAAGTTTTAATAGTATCCGAACCATTTGAAATTAAGTTCAAAAGCATTTTTAACGTCATTTAAAACTTCTTCACACAAGTACCGCCCATATCTTTCCGATTTGGTATTGAAGAACTCCATATGAAGCAGCTGTTAAACCAGTATTTATAAGGTCCCATATCCATGATTTAGCAGTTTTTCCATCCTTTCCATCCTTTCCATCCAAACCGTTTTCGCCTTGAGGTCCTTGTATTCCTTGTATCCTTGTATTCCTTGTATTCCTTGTGGTCCTTGAGGTCCGGTGTCACCCTTCTCTCCTTTCAGTTCATCTTTATGTTCGTTATAAATATTCTAATGTCATAAGGTGTTACATCATTACTGCTACCAGCAACGCCGAGAATTGTTTCTCATCATGACTAAATTCTTTAGGCATTTAATGTTGTCGTCAAATCGAAAGCTCTTTAACAATTCAATGAGAACATTTAATACTTTCACTAATGAGGCATCTACTGTAGAATTTATATATTGCACCGTTCCATCATTTTATGATGGGAACCTTGCTTGTTGTAATGAATGGGTCATAAGTGTTAAAAGTATCGAAATCAATGACTTTTTTAGTTTTTCCATCGTCAATGACTAAATCATTGCCTTCAATGGTTAAAGTTGAGTTTTCGTTTACTAGTTCATGTGCTCTTCTTGCTTCATTTGTTTCATACGCATATGCAGCAATAGTCATATTTTAATGAGAATAAAAATGTT